GGCGAGCGTATGGCCGACAATGCCTCCGACAGTCACCAGCAGGATTGAACCAGACACAAACACGATCTGGCAGGCAAACAACACCAGCAAATTTCGATTTATGAAACTCATATACAACGCTAATCTGACTAAGGCAATGCAAAAGCAGTTAGTTCTGCGTCCTCCCCTGCCCCGCCCGCAGCCAGCACAACATATTGTCTGCCTTTGTAAACGTAGGTCATAGGCGTACCCATGGGTGCAAGCGTCATGCGATGCTCCCACTCAACCTTGCCGGTGGCTTTGTTGAATGCGCGTAAATACCGTTCAGTGTCTGAAAGATTGAAGCCCACGGGTACAGCCTGGGCCTGATTGATAAACAGCAGGGTTTTAGTGACCAACGGCCCACCGCTGGTCAGAAACGAAACACTATGTGCGCCGAGCGGGCCCAGGTTGAGATGCTTGATGGCTGGATGATCCGTGGGCCCCTGCCCGTGCGGTACCTGCCAGGCTATGGAACCGTTATTCAGATCAATGGCGGTGACTGTGCCATAAGGCGGTTTTAACAGTGGCAGCCCCTCAGGTCCGAACGGAATCGCACTGAAATCAACCAGATAGTCTGCCTGGCCTTCTTTACCCGGCGCTACACTTGCTGGTGTAGGCAGGTTTGCCGCCTGCAGGAAAAGATAACCGGTTTCAGGATCTACACCGGCACCACCCCAGTTGGCACCGCCGGCTGCGCCAGGAACCTGAATCACTGCTTTCCTGCCGTTTTCGCCAGCAACGTTAGGCGGTTCGAAAAGTGGGCCTAACTTGAATTCTTTGACAATCTCCAATGCCGCTGCACGCAGCTCCGGGGTGAAATCGATCAGATCATCTTCGCTGATACCCTGTTGCACAAAAGGCGGGGGTTTTGTCGGGAACGGTTGCGTGGCTGCGGTCTGCTCACCGGGCACATTCGACTGGGGCACGGGTCGTTCTTCAATGGGCCACACGGGTTCACCCGTGATGCGATCAAAAACGTAAGTGAACCCCTGCTTGCTCACCTGAGCTACCGCCTGAATCTTTTTACCGCCTACTTCGATGTCGACGAGGGTGGGTGCAGCCGGGAAATCGTAATCCCACAGGCCGTGATGAACAGCCTGAAATTGCCAGACCACTTCGCCACTTCTGGCATCCAGGCAGACCAGGCTTTCTGCATAACGATTGTCTCCCTTGCGATGGCCACCATAGTAATCATTGTGAGGGGTGCCTGTGGGGATGTAGACATAACCCAGTTCCGGGTCTGCACTGAAGGTGGTCCAAGCGTTCGCGGCACCACTATAGCGCCAGCTTTCATCCTCCCAGGTTTTGCTTGCCGGGTCGTCGCCCTGGGCTACCGTTTCGAACGTCCAGGTCTGCTGGCCGGTAAGTACATCAAAACCGCGGACCGGACATTTTGGAAACGACACGGTCATCGGCCGATCCATTACCGTGCAGCCGAGTACGATGGTCTGCCCAACCACAATGGGCGCAGAGTTGTAGCCGATGTATCGTCTGTCTCTGTCACCCTCGACAATGCCAGCCTGCAGATCAATCCGCCCGCGATTACCGAAAGATTCGAGGAGTTGGCCTGTTTCTGCATCCAGGGCAATCAGTTCACCTGTGCCGGTAGCGTATACCACCCGGCTCCTGTGACGACCCTGGCCTTGCCAGTACGCCAGACCCCGATGCTGCCAGCCTGTATTCGCGGGACGCCCGAGCCTGTAAGCCTCCGGATTAAACACCCATATTGTTTCACCAGACTCAGCGTCAATGGCTGCCGCCTGACTCAGACCCGTAGTCACATAAAGCACGCCGCCCACCATCAATGGTGTGGCTTTGAAGTGGCCAGGTTGTTGCCGGACTTCGCGACCCAAAGCCGCATCGGGATTCTGCCAGCGCCAGGCAACCTCCAGACTGCCAACATTGCCTGCATGTATCTGGTCCGCGGATGAGTACTTCGTGCCTTGAGCGTCCTGGCCGTAGTAACGCCATTCAATATTCTGCGCGGGTGAGACTTTCTGCGGCGCAGCGGAACAGGCATTCATGCCTATTATTAAAACAGCAACCAGCACAGGCGTGCTTGCGATGGTGAATCGATACATATTGTTTCTCCCCTGACCCACCAACACTATCATAACGCTGGCCCAGCTACTTACAGTGAAAAGGATAAGTTACACTCAGTCACTCAGCCGCATGTGCAGAGGCCCATTTGACCCACCGCTTACAGATCTTTTTCGTTGTGCTCACCTTGTTGTTAACCATCCCCATATTCCTGGCGCAGAGCAGCGCAGCGGACATAGACTCGATTGATGCGCAATCAGTTGGAACGCAAGGCGGTCAGGTAGACGGTGAAAAAGTGTTCGAACAGGCCTGCTTTTCCTGTCATGGCACGGGCTTCTATGGTGCCCCGTTAATCGGTGATCCATACGATTGGGAGGAGCGCTTGGCACGCGGGGAAGCTGCTCTGATCGCCAATACACTACAGGGATTGAACAGCATGCCGGCTAAAGGTGGTTGTGCAACTTGTTCAGATGAAGAAATTCAGGCTGCTGTGCGATACCTTATTAACTACTGAGCTGGAGAACGCTATTGGCAAAGCACGCAAAAAAATATAGCCAACAACTGGAGTTCGCGGCATGTACAAACAATCTGGATGCCGCTCGCACCACAGCCTCTGCACTCGGGGGCACCATGTACTGGGATCCGCGCGAAGCGTTCTCGCACCTGCCCTTCCGCGCCTTAACCACATGCGTCACAGATGACCTGACGCAATTGCAGTCAGCTGCTGATATCGGCTTGTACGTTGTTTGTCGCCGCATCATCAAACCCGGCAAGCCCAAGTACGTCGGCCTGTTTCCCCTGGTGCATCATCCTAAGCTTACGCACACACAAGCAGACGCACACTGGCGCGATCAACATGCGCCTTTAACTTTTGAACACCATGAGGCCATGAGCCATTACAGCCAGCTGAGCGTTGTGCATCGCCTCTCTGGACCAGAGATCGATGGCTTTGCTTTGTGTGGCTTCGATTCACTTGAAGACTTGCGGGAACGATTCTATACCCTGCCCCACAGCCCTAAGGTGATTGCCACCGATATCCAGAAGTTTGCGGACACAAAAAAGTCTCCCCGGCGCCTTATCGCAACGGTACAAACTTTTCCTGAGTCACCGGATACCTGAACAGGTCAAGGGTGACACTCCGGTAAGAACAAATTTGATCCTCTGCGTATCTTAGGTACATTAGGGGTAGACACCTTACGGCCCAGCTCAAGCGGAGTTCATTATGGCAAAGACCCCAAAGCCTCAATCCTATTACGACGACATCAAAAAACGTTTTGCCGAAGAGCGGGATCTGCGTCTGGCTTATCGCCCCGAGGGCACTACCCAATTCACTTCAGACCTGTCTGGAGACCTTGCACAGTATGCTGTGGACCCTTATTCCGGCCCAGCTGAAGCCAGAGACCCCATCAACGATGCGGTGGAAGTGCTGTTCATTGGAGGCGGTTTTTCCGCCTTACTGACCTCAGCGCGACTCCGTGAAAAAGGCGTTGAGAGCATCCGCATCGTAGAACGTGGAGGCGACGTCGGCGGCACCTGGTACTGGAATCGCTATCCTGGCGTCGCTTGCGACGTGGTGGGCTACGACTATCTGCCGCTGCTTGACGAAATGGACTACGTACCGGTTAACCACTACTCCAGAGGCCCGGAAATCTTTGCGCACTGCCAGGCCATCGCCAAAAAATATGACCTCTACGACCTTGCTGTTTTTAACACAACCGTCACCTCCACAATCTGGGACGAAGAAGACGGTTTATGGCATATCACCACTGACCGTGGGGACAGGATGTCTGCTCAATTTGTCATCTGCGCCAATGGCACTCTGTCTAAACCCAAGTTATCGCGCATCCAGGGCATGGATTCATTTGCGGGCCATGCTTTCCACACCTCGCGATGGGACTATGACTACACCGGCCAGGACCTGGAAAATCTGCGGGATAAGGTAGTTGGCATCATCGGCACGGGTGCCAGCGCTGTTCAAGCTGTACCAGAGCTAGGTAAAAACGCAAAAGAACTCTATGTTTTTCAGCGTACCCCCTCTTCTATCGATGTTCGTGACGATTGGCCCACCGATCCGAACTGGGCACGAAAGCTGAAGCCAGGCTGGCAGGCCAAGCGCCGCGAGCGGGTGCTGGCGATGTCGGAACCCAGCGCCGAGCAAAAAGCCAAAAACGCGGCGCTGTCTCCTGAGGAAAAACTGCGCAAACAGGAAAACGCCAACATCGACTACATGATGCGCATACACAAACGTATAGAAAAGGAAGTACAGGATCCTGAGGTAGCTGAAGCATTAAAGCCCTGGTACATGTTCATGTGTAAACGCCCCTGTTTTCACAATGAATATCTGCCCACGTTTAACCTGCCTAACGTGCACCTGGTAGACACCCACGGCAAGGGCATCACTGAAATCAACGCCCAGGGGCCCACTTTTGAAGGCAAGCAATACAAGCTGGACCTGTTGATCTACGCAACCGGCTTTGAAGTTCAGAAAACCGGCATCTACAACAAAATTGTGGGCAAAGATGGCGTCGATCTGGAAGACAAATATGCCGACGGTATACGCACCCTGTTAGGCATACACACCCAGGGTTATCCCAACCTCTTCATTATGGGGGGCTACCAGGCTTCGTTTCAGTTCAATCTCACAGATATGTTGCAAACCCAGGGGGATCATATTGCCGCCTGCATCGACTACGTGCGCAGCAATGGCCTGCACAGCATCGACCCTACGCCGGAAGCCGAGGAATGGTGGGTGCAGGAGGTGATTGCCCATCGAGGTAAAACCAATCGCAATCAGGAATGCACGCCGGGTTACTACAATTTCGAAGGCGAAGACAACCGTCGACAGGACGGCAATTACAACGGCGGTTTCTTACAGTACTTCAGGCACCAGGGTGCGGTGCGTGAGGACATGGCAAAGAACTTTCAGTTCACCTGACCCGTTAGACCCGGGTCAGCGTTTGATCATCGCGCAGCGCATCCAGCTGTCGCTGCACGCCTTTGGCCCAGTGGGGATGGGTGAGTATCCAGAATTTGTCGTTCTCGATCGCGTTTGCAACCAGCTCGCCCACCTCATTCGGTTGCATGCCCTGCTCCAGACTCGCCTGTATGTTCTTCGCCAGTTTGCCTGATCGAGCGCCATCTGTTTTGGGTTTGGCTTGACCCGGCCGAAAACTGACAGAGTTACGGCTGATATTGGTATTGATCGGTCCCGGGCACAGAACCGATGCCCGCACTGCACTGTCACGCGCCCGGAGTTCCCGCTCCAAAGAGGCCATCAATGCAATCACACCATGTTTGGCAACGTTGTAAGCCCCCATCATCTGCGCCGCAAGCAATCCCGCCATGGAAGATGTCGAGCTGATGTGCCCTTCTCCCTGCGCTTCGATCAACGGCAGGAAAACCTTTACTCCATATATCGGACCCCATAAATCGACATCGATGATCCACTTCCAGTCTTCCAGCTTCATCTTGGTTGCAGACGTCGGCAGCCCGATACCGGCGTTATTACAAAGAACATGAACCGCGCCGTAGGTCTCGATCGTATAGTCCGCCAGCGCCTGAACCGAGTCGAGCTCCGCAACATTACAGGCGCGGCCCACCACAGATGTTGTTGGTGACAACTCAGCGACAGCCGCCGCCAGGGTTTCTTCATTGAGGTCTGACAGCACCAGCTTCATGCCACGCGCCGCCAACGCCCGCGCTATGCCGAGGCCGATACCACTGCCTGCACCGGTTATCACAGCGACCCGATCTTTGAATTCTTTCATTTATCCCACCCCTGCCCATCGCATACAAAACTTATGGTTACCTAGACTAAAGACAATGTCATGTGCATGCTAGCCTGCACACACAAGGGTTATGCAAACATAAATTGCTAAGAAGCATTCAGTTATGAGCAAAAACAATCCCATTCAAAATGGTTATTTAGTGGTCACCGGCGCAGCCTCGGGTATTGGACTGGCTGTGAGTGAAGCAGCCGCGAAAAAAGGTGCGCGCGTGCTTGCGCTGGACATCTCAAATCGCGAGTCGACTGGCGTGCAACGCTTGTTAAAAACGCCAGGTATCGGCTTTTTACAGTGTGATGTCAGTGATCCCGAGGCCTGGACTGAAGTTGTTGCAGTTCTCGAGGAAACACCCACACATCTGTTTTTAAATGCAGGCATTCAGATCGCACCACCCGAGGCGCCGTTATCCGAATATCAATTTGATGCGCTGCGGCTTGATAGGTATCGGAAAATGATGGGGGTTAACGTCGACGGCGTTGTTTTTGGCCTGCACGCTTTACTGCCAAAGCTGTGCGATGGCGGCTCTATAGTAGTCACCAGTTCCCTCGCGGGTATCACCCCCTACAGCGTAGATCCCCTGTATTCCATGAGCAAACACGCTGTTGCTGGTCTGGTACGAAGCCTTGGGCCCACATTGCAGTCGCGAAATATTACCATCAATGCACTTTGCCCAGGCGGCATTGATACCGGCATTATTCCTGTGGAACAGCGCTCCGCGAGCCCAACAGGCGAATTCATGACACCGGAACATATCGCTGAGGAAGTACTGTTCTTATTCGACGCTGAGGAGACCGGCAAAACCTGGGCTAAGGTTGCCCAGAGCAAACCCGTATTCATTATTCGCGCACCCGGGGACAAGTCCTCATAAACGAGAACGCTAACCACGCTCAGAGCGCCGACCCGGACTTCTCCGCCGCGATCGTTGACGAACTTTACCTGTATCAGCACAAGCATTTTCCAATAGCCCTCGCATACGTGGTATTTGGTGGGATTTTTGGTGCACATCGTTTCTACCTCGGCCGGTCCCTGACAGGTATCCTCATGCTCATAACCGCAGGTGGCGGACTTTTCTGGTGGGTCTGGGATCTCTTTCACATACGCACGATGGTTAAGGCTTTTAACGCTGAGGAAGACAGAAGAGCCGAGACACAGCTTGCGCCCCAGGGACTGGGGTTTCTCCCACCGAAACAGGACCTGCAACTCAGTGGCCCGCCGGTCTGGGCAAGCAAACGCCAAGGCCGCCTGAAAGTTTTTGGCGCCGGGATACTTCTGAGCATCATCGGGCTTGTGATCGGTGCCATATCCGGCGCAACCAAGATATACGAACCAGTGCTGATCATCCTGATATTTATTGTCATTACCTTGACCGCGGCACGCTGGAGAGGACTGTTGCGGATACCTGTATTGGGCAGTTTGGGTCGCTGGAGTCACCGCCTGAGGTTGTACTACTACACCGTCGATCCCGGCAGTGCCTGGCTCCTGGCACTGCGCCCGGTCATTGGCGTGCTGTTTGCACCCTGGCAACAAAAAGCCCGCGCTGAAGTGCGTTTATATCTGCAGCTTGGCGTGGCTGTCACTCTTGCATTTACATTCTTCGATTTACTGGAGATTTCCGAGTCTGAATCCTTGTCGGCGGGCATCGGCCTGATGGCCGCTGAATTTTTTCAGACGCTGATATACACCTATGCATTTGTGGCACCCGTTGGTGCGATTTTAACAACTCAGCTTTTGTTGTCTCGCCACGATCGCGTAGTGTGGACGCTGAGCGCGCTCACACTTACTTTCGTATATCTCGGCTTATTGCTCGTTGGTGCCCTATAAGAATCTGAACAAACAGGCGGCCATTCTGAACCGCGCCAATCTGGCTAAAAAACCTTAGCTTGTCTCTCTGACTGTGAGAGACTAAGGAATTGAGGAGAGGGCCCCGTTCGAAAAGTGATTCTAAGAATTTCCCTGACTGTGCTGGTCATTGCCTTGCTTGCGGGCATAGTCGCAGTGGTCAAGCAAAACCAGAGTTCAGCTAAAGCAGCTGCCATGGCAGCTGGCCCTGCGCCTGCGGTTGTCACCGCCACTCGTGTGAAGCGAACTGCGTGGACACAGCGTATCGAAGCCGTTGGCGATCTCAGAGCCATTCAGGATGTCGCCATTGCATCTGAAGTGCCGGGCAAGGTGATCGAGATAAACTTCGAATCAGGCGCCCCAGCTCAAGCTGGCGATATTCTTGTGCGTCTGGATGCAAGTGAGGATCGCGCACAGATCGAAGCTCTGACAGCTGAACTGCAGCTCGCGCAACTGGAAGACCAGCGCGTGCAGAAGCTGCGCGGATCTGCCGCATTCTCACAATCACTGCTTGATCGCTCTCAATCGCAGATGGCCAATCTACAGGCGCAGGTAGAACGCCAGCAGGTTGTGTTGCAACGCAAAGTTATACGCGCGCCGTTTGATGGCGTGTTGGGTATTCGCCAGATCAGTCAGGGCACCATTGTTGCGCCGGGCGATCCCATCGTGCGGCTACAGAGCCTGGCACCCATCTACGTCGACTTCACTCTGCCAGAGCGTCATCGGGGTTCGGTCACGCCCGGCCAGACACTGGAGGTTTCGGTGGCCGCCTGGCCTGGGCAGGTCTTCACCGGTGAGCTCATTGTCGTCAGCCTGGATGTCGACACACGCAGCCGCACACTGAAATTGCGCGGACAACTGGATAACGCAGAGCGCCGTCTGCAGCCAGGCATGTTTGCCACTGTGCACCTCATTGTAAGTGGCGAGCAATCGGTGCTGACGCTGCCGCGCACGGCTATCAGCTTCTTTGCTTACGGTGAGTCCGTTTTCATGATCCAGGATGGCAGCGATGGGCCCATCGTGCAGCGCCAGCCAGTCAAAGTTGGACGCATTCGCGATGAGCAGGTCGAAATTCTCTCCGGGCTGGCAGAGAATCAGCGTGTTGTGCACACCGGTCACATCAAGCTGCGTGATGGTCAGAACATCACCATCGACGCAGGCATCCCGCTGCCCCAGGGCGTTGACGACCGATGAATATCACCGATGTCTTTGTACGCCGGCCAGTGTTGTCATCAGTTATTGGCCTGCTGATTCTGCTGTTGGGAGCCCGCGCGCTCATGTCTCTGGAGCTGCGCGAATACCCCAAGACAGAGCAGGCGCTGGTGACGGTGACAACCGCCTTTCCAGGTGCCGACGCCGACCTGGTGCAATCCTTCATTACTGAACCACTGCAACGCGCGGCTTCCGAAGCTGAAGGCATCGACTACGTCACGTCTAACTCCCGCCAGGGTGTATCGATCATTCAGGCTTACATGGGGTTGAACTACGACCCCTACGATGCGCTGGCGGAAATTCAGGGCAAGATTGCAAGCGAGCGCAACAGCCTGCCACGTGAGGCAATGGATCCCGTCATTTCGCTGTCAACGAGCGAAGGTTGGGCACTGATGTACATGGCCCTGGTGAGCGAGGACATGGATACCGCGCAGATGACGGACTACACCCTACGCAGCATCGTCCCGCGGCTGCAGGCCCTGCCGGGCGTCGCCAAAGCTGGGATTAACGGCGACCAGACCATGGCGCTGCGCGTATGGCTCGACCCGATGCGCCTTACCGCCCTAGACATGACCGCGTCTGAAGTGCGGCGCGCATTGCTTGCAGAGAACGTGCAATCGGCAGTCGGCCAGACCAAGGGCGACAGCATCAAAATTAATCTGTCAGCCACCACCAATCTCACCACGGTGGAAGAATTCAAAAACCTGGTATTACGTACTGACGGCGCCGCAGTAACACGCCTGCAGGACGTGGCAGATGTGCGCCTCTCCACCAGCAACCCCGATCAGGAAAGCTGGTTCAGCGGCCGTCCCTGCGTGATGCTCGCCCTCACACCCACACCCGGCGCAAACCCGTTGTTGCTTTCAGCTGAAGTGAATGCACTGTTGCCTGATATACGCAACCAGCTGCCTCGCGGTATGGAGTTGAAACTGATTTACGACGGCAGCATGTACATTGAAGATTCTATCGACGAGGTATACACCACGTTGATCGAAGCTGTGATCATCGTACTGCTGGTTATCTTTCTGTCGCTGGGCACCTGGCAGGCGGCCGTGGTACCCGCCCTGGCTGTACCACTGTCTCTGATCGGCGGCGCGTTCCTGATGCTGCTTATGGGTTTCTCGATCAACCTGCTGACGTTGCTGGCCATGTTGCTTGCCATTGGCCTTGTGGTTGACGACGCCATCGTCGTGGTGGAAAACGTGCATCGCCACATCGTCGAAGGTAAAACCCCTTACGAAGCAGCACTTACCGGTGCGCGCGAACTTGTGCTGCCTATCATCTCCATGACCACCACGCTGGTGGCCGTCTACGCACCCATTGGTTTCATGGGCGGCCTGGCAGGATCATTGTTCACGGAGTTCGCCTATTCACTGGCGGGCACCGTGGTCGTATCCGGTATCGTAGCGCTCACCCTGGCACCCATGTTGTGTGCACGAATCCTCCCCGACCGTAATCACAGCAACGCGTTCGAAGGGTTTGTGGATAAGGCTTTCGCCTATCAGGTCCAATTCCATCAATGGCTGCTGCGCGATGCGCTTCGATATCTGGCGGTGCCGCTCCTGGTCGCCCTCTCGGTAACCGGATCCATTTACTTCATGTACCAGGGCAGCACCCAGGAACTCGCACCTACAGAGGATCGCGAGGTGTTGAACGTGCAGATATCGGCACCGGAAACGGCAACGCTGGAATATACCGCGGCGCATGCAGCTGAAGTGGTCAAAGCCTTTGAGACCTTTCCGGAATATCTGCGCAGCTTCCTGCTGATCGGTGGCGGCGGCACCCCCGCGAGCAGCTTTGGCGGCTTCCGTTTTGTACCCGTTGCGGAACGGGAACGATCGCAGATGGAGCTTCAACCCCTGACACAGGCGCTTGTGAATCAGATAGCCGGGGTCCAGGTCGCCGTCTTCACCTTTCCTTCCCTGCCTGGCGCCTCGCGTGGTACGCCATTGCAGTTTGTGCTGACGGGAGATTCCACTTACGAGCAACTCGTGGAAATGGCAGACCAGCTGATTGGGGAGAGCTACAAGAGCGGTAACTTTGTCTATCTGCGCAAATCCGCCGAGATCGCGCTACCCCTGACACGAATGGTTATCGACCGGGATCGCGCCGGAGACCTGGGCGTTGATATGGACGAATTTGGTGCGACCCTGACAACACTGCTTGGCGGCGGATATGTGAGCAGGTTCAATCAGGCTGGACGGAGTTACGAGGTTATTCCCCAAGCCGCGCGACGCTATCGCATGGATGAGTCTCTGCTTGAGGATTACCACGTTCGCGGCGGCGACGGCACGCTTATTCCACTGGGCAGTTTCGTCTCGCTCAAACACGAAATTGAGCCCACCCAGCGTGCGCAGTTCCAGCAGCTGAACAGCGTGACCATCAGCGGCATCATGGCACCTGACGTATCACTGGGTGATGCGATGCAGTTTTTAGAAACAAAGGCTGCAGCAATATTTCCACAGAATATCGGCTTCGACTATATGGGCGAGTCGCGGCAGCTCGAGCAGCAGGGCAACGCGTTGCTTTATACGTTTTTCCTTTCGCTGATCTTTATCTATCTGGTGCTCGCCGCACAGTATGAGAGTTGGCGTGACCCGCTTATCATTCTCGTGTCTGTACCCATGTCGATAGCCGGGGCGATGCTGTTTATCTATCTGGGTTTCGCCACCATCAATCTGTACACGCAAATTGGTCTTATCACCCTGATCGGGCTGATCGCGAAGAACGGCATTCTCATTGTGGATTTCGCCAACCGTCTGCAGGAAACAGAAGGCTTGAACAAACGCGACGCTGTGGCAAAAGCCACTGCCACACGCTATCGACCCATCCTGATGACCACCGTCGCAATGCTGATGGCCATGGTGCCGCTGCTGCTTGCCACCGGACCTGGTTCAGTAAGCCGGTCTCAGATGGGACTGGTTATTTTCTCGGGGCTTGGGCTCGGCACGCTGTTCACCCTTTTTGTGGTTCCTGCAGTCTACGTCCTGCTGGCCAAAGACCGGAAGCCTCAGGTACAAGACGTGCAACAGGTGGCTGCAGAGACCACCGCGTAAGCCTGATCTTTTCTCTAACCTTGCTCACGTATTGTAATCGTTGGCGCTGCTGCATTGAGTTGATCAACCGCATAGCCTGCCGCAGCTTTGTAACGGCCCATCAGCGCTTCGCGTTCAGCGGCGGGAAAAACCGTCTCAATATCATCAAATATACCGCCACAACGGCTGTCTAATTCATTCAGAATCACAAAGGGGCCAGACCCTCTATTACGCAGAACTACTGCAGAGATATTCTCACACAGCTGTTCGTTATAGGCTTCAAGCGCCGCATTCGAGACGCCGTACTTAATCAGGTTGGCTCCTAACACGCGAGCATCAACAATCGCCTGGCTCGCGCCGTTGGAACCCGTTGGGTACATGACATGCGCTGCATCACCCAGGAGAGCAACATTTCCATCTACCCAGGTTGAAACGGGATCACGATCTATCATGGGATATTCAAAAACTTCTGCAGCGCCACGCAGCAGTCCTTGAATATCTACCCAATCGTAGTCCCATCCCTCAAAGTGGTGGATGAAGTCCGCCAGCTCTACTTTTTTATTCCAGTCGCCATGTGTCCAGCCATCAGAGTTGTCCATGGTGACTTCAGCAATCCAGTTGATAAGCGCCAATCCGGTGTCAGGGTCAGCAGGAGAAATAGGGTAAAACACGATGCGGTGGTGATGCGTACCCAAACCAACAAAAGAGGCGCCACTTCGAATAGGCTTGGCGTAGGTTGTTCCCCGCCACATGACTGCGCCACCCCAGTGAATGGGTGGTTGCTCAGGATGCATCTGCTGACGGATGGTTGAATGCAGACCGTCTGCCGCAACTAACAGAGCCCCTGCAAACTCAAGCTTCTCTCCAGCCCCCGTAACAACTTGAGCAATGACACCATCATCGGTGTTGCGATAGGCTATTACCTGATGGTTTGTTTTCAGTGCGGTTTCGCCAAGGCGCTGTAGAGCCGTGTGGTAAAGCAGCATCTGCAACTGGCCGCGATGAACTGAGTATTGTGGCCAATGGTAACCCGCAGCCAGACCCCGGGGTTCTGAATAGACATCTTTGCCGTTCAAACCCACCAATGCCCATTCTTTAGTCTGTAAACCGATGGTGTCTAATATTTCCGCGCCGAGCCCCAAATCATAAAGTTCACGAACCGCATTCGGCTGCAGATTTATACCCACGCCCATAGGCTTAAGTTCTGGAACGGACTCAAATACAATGCAGGGGACACCTATTTGATGCAGGGTAAGGGCAAGGCTGAGACCGCCGATGCCACCACCGGCAATCAGACTCGGGGTTGGATATGTTTCTGCCGCGCTCATTTTTATGTGCAGACCCATTAATGGAGTCTGTAATTATTCCTGCGTTGCTTAGACCGGGAATCTTAACAGGGATAGACACCTATCTGGCTGACCATCAAGCCTGCCTGTGATGGCGCAGGCTGTCCGTCTGCACGTCAGCGATTTCTACACGGTTAATAAGTCAGCTAACAAGTCAGTTCACGAAGAGACTGAGGCAAGTAGCGAGGCATTACCACCTGCTGCGGTAGTGTCGATACAGGTGTGTCGCTCGAGAAGGCAGTAACTTTCCAGATCATTGCTGGCCACCAGCGGCAGAATCTTACCCTGCCTGGCAGCCAGTGCTTTGCGTGCTGCGCGCAGGTCTTCATCGTCGCCGCACAATGCAACAACTTCGATACCTTCCAGCAGCTGCAGATCAGCGCGGTCGAGGAAACCGTCAATACTGTCCGCGCCTTGTGCGCCAGGTACAACTATCAGTGTCGGGCAACCCATTCGACGAGCAGCTCCAGCTTGCGCAATGGCGTCCTGCAGAGTCGGACCCAGACACAATACGAGCCCGCGAGGCCACAACGCCAACCTGTTTGATTCTCCCGTTACGCCAGGCATGTCCAGCACATCCAGCACCTGGGGCTCATGCCAATGTAAAGCCTCTATCGCCGCCTGTACCTGTTGAAAAGGCGCCGGCGCACCAGGGTTAGACTCGCTGCTGACCCGTTCCGCCTGTTGGAACCGACGCACATAATTCGGTCCGCCCGCCTTCGGACCCGTTCCAGACAGGCCTTCTCCTCCAAAAGGCTGGGATTCGACCACTGCGCCAACCTGATTTCGATTGACGTAAATGTTGCCAACATGCATTTGATCGGAGATGAGTTTCGCCCGTTCATCTATGCGGGTATGCAATCCAAATGTCAGACCGAAACCGCGCCTGTTAACGGCAGCTAAGACCTCATCGAATTCGTTTGCGCTGAACCTGACGACATGCAGTACAGGACCGAACATCTCGTGTTCCAGGTCATCAATGCCGCTCACCTCGATGACAGACGGACCAACGAAGTTACCCAGGTCAGGTGTTTTCAGTTGTTTGAGCAGCAGCCCCTTGTCGCGCGCTTCAATGACATACTGTTGCAGAGCGCCCTGCGCCTGAGCGGAAATAATCGGCCCTATATCCGTATCCAGATTCCAGGGATTGCCAAGTTCAAGCTCGTCCATGGCGCCGAACAACATTTCAAGAAACACATCGGCAACATCTTCCTGAATGTAAAGTACACGCAACGCGGAACAGCGCTGACCCGCGGATTGGAACGCGGACACCAGAGTGTCGCGAACCGCTTGTTCGGGCAAAGCAGTTGAATCGATTACCGCCGCGTTAATGCCACCAGTCTCAGCAATCAGCGGTGCATCCGGCGTCAGATGATCAGCCATCACCTGATGGATAGCCTGCGCGGTTGCTGTGGACCCTGTAAAACAAACGCCTTTCACTTCGGGTTGGCTGACCAGAGCCTGCCCAACTTCCAGTCCGTCTCCTGGCAGCAGCTGCAGCACCTCGCGTGGTACGCCAGCGGCGTGTAACAGCTTCACCGCCGCCGCCGCGATCAATGGCGTCGTCTCCGCCGGCTTGGCCAGCACGCCATTACCCGCAGCAAGCGCTGCCGCGACCTGACCGGTGAAGATAGCAAGAGGGAAATTCCAGGGAGAAATGCAGGTAAAAATACCCCTGGGCTCAGCATCCGGATGCTCCTCACCCTGGCCTGCGTAATACCGCAGAAAATCCACTGCCTCACGCAGCTCTGCGACAGCATCAATCGGCGTTTTTCCCGCTTCGCGGGCGAGCAATGCAAACAGCTCAGCAAAATTGCTCTCAAACAGGTCCGCAGCTCGCCGCAGGGTGAAGGCCCGCTCTGTTGCACCAGCATGCGCCCAACTGGTTGCGCTATCGGCTGCACGCCTGCAATCTTCAGAGGTCGCCTCGATGACATGTCCAACCACTTCACCGCTGACAGCAGGATTTAAAATCTGCCTGCTGGGCTGACCAATGAAATCCCCGGCCACGATCGGCTCAGCAAACCATTGCTCATGGAGATGGCGCTCTCTGGCAAGCTCTACCTGCCTAACAACATCACTGTTTTGCAGATCCCAGCCCTGCGCGGCAATGCGATCCGGCGCATAAAGATCCGCCGGGGACTGCAAACGTTCAGGCAATCCAGCCGCAATGTTCGGCAAAGCGTCGAAAGGATCAGCCGCCAGCGCAGCCGCCGAGATTCGGGGGTCGACCACCTGATTCACGAAGGATGAATTGGCGCCGTTTTCAAGTAAGCGTCGAACCAGATAGGCGAGCAGATCTTTGTGTGGCCCAACAGGTGCATATATCCTGCAGCGGGCACCTTCCTCCTCGAGCAACTGGTTGTGTAACGTCTCTCCCATACCATGCAGACGCTGGAACTCGTACGCACTTGGGTCGTCAGCCAGTTCAAGGATCGCGGCAGCCGTCTGTGCATTATGGGTAGCAAACTGTGGATATATGCGATCCGTCATGCGCAGCAACCTTGCGGCACAGCAGGTATAAGAAATGTCCGTGGCCACGCGCCGGGTAAACACAGGATAGCTGGAAGCGCCATCGATCTGCGCCTGTTTGATCTCAGAATCCCAGTAGGCACCTTTAACAAGACGCACCATGACCCGGCGATCAAGCCTGGTAGCCAGGGCATACAACCAGTCAATGACCGGCGCGGCACGTTTGCCATAGGCCTGAATTACCAGACCAAAACCACCCCAACCCGCAAGCCTGGAGTCGCTCAGCGCAGCCTTGAATACCTGCAGAAGCGGTTCCAGCCGCCGCGATTCCTCGGCGTCTACGTTGAGTCCCAGATTGTACTTTTTCGCCAGCCGCGCCAGGGCGTTCAAACGCGGCGCCAGTTCTTTAAGCAGGCGCTGTGACTTGGCGTACTCGAAGCGCGGGTGCAATGCAGACAACTTAACTGAAATACCAGGCTGGTCGGTCAGCGGACCCTCCCCGTTCGAGGCGCCTATTGCACGAATCGCATCAGCGTAGGCTTCGAAATACTGATCGGCATCTGCCTGGGTAAGCGCTGCTTCACCAAGCATATCGTAAGAGTAAAGAAATCCGCGTTTCGTCTCGGCACGTCCACGATCAAGGGCCTGCTCAATCGTCTGCCCCAGCACAAACTGGTTGCCCATTTCCCGCATGGCCTGCTTGACTGCCATCCGCACAACAGGTTCGCCAAGACGCTTTACCGTACGGTTAAGCAATCCAGAGACGCTTGCGGAGTTATCTTCATCAAGAATGCGTCCGGTCAGCATAAGCGCAACCGTTGAGGCGTTCACTAGAGACGATCCTGAGTGACCAGAATGTTCCTGCCAGTCATAGGGCGCAATTTTATCTTCGATGAGCGCATCAATAGTGCCGGCGTCAGGCACTCTGAGCAGGGCTTCTGCCAGACACATCAGCGCAATACCCTCGTTGGTAGACAGGCCGTATTCCGCCAGAAACATTTCCATCAGTCCGGGCTGACCTGAGTTGCGGATGCGCTCAATCAGGCTAACTGCTCGGTCCTGGATCTGGCGCCGCTGGCTGTGATCGATTCTGGCGCTACTGATCAGCGACGCCAGAATTTCACCTTCATCAGCAACATGCATCGCCCGTATGGCACTCAGCTCATCGTCCTCCACCGATGTAGAAGGCACATTCTGAGGATTCCCCGCCAGCTTCATAAACTAACTCCTTGGATTACGCTGTTCAGATCTGGCCGGTCGCAGGATCCCCTGGAACAGGGTCCCGTCCGTCCATCAACAGCATCATGTGATCGTATCGCCGGGTCACGGCAGATTCAGGTTGTGAGGTCAGCAGACTGACAATCACTGCAGCCAGCGTGGCCGACAAAAAACCGGGGACAATTTCATAGATATGGTCAGGCAGGCTCCTACCGGCAATTTCTATCGGAACATAAATCCAGAAAAGCACCACCAGGGCCCCCGTTATCATGCCCGCCAGAGCACCTTGCTTATTAAAACGTCGCCAGAACAGACTGAGCAGAATAATTGGTCCGAATGCGGCACCGAAACCCGCCCAGGCGTTACTGACAAGCGACAGGATCGAGGCAGAACGATCAAAGGCCAGTAGAATCGCAACCACGGATACCGCCAGCACCGAGAACCTGCCAACCAGTACCAGCTCTTTCTGGCTTGCGGCACGTCGTACAAAGGTTTTATAAAAATCCTCCGTCAACGAACTCGAAGACACCAGGAGTTGTGAGGAGATCGTACTCATTATCGCCGCAAGGATCGCCGCGAGCAAAAAACCACCAACCAGCGGGTGAAACAATACTTGTGACAGGAATATGAACACAGTTTCCGGGTCTTCAAGGGTTGCCCTGGTCGACGACACATAAGCTAATCCGACAATACCGGTGGCAACGGCGCCGACCACTGTCACCAGCATCCAGCTCATACCAATACGTCGCGCCACGGCAATATCCGCTAGAGACCTGATCGCCATGAATCTGACGATAATATGCGGCTGACCAAAATAGCCGAGCCCCCAGGAAAGACTGGAAATAAGACCCAAGACAGTCAGGCCACTCGTCCAGCTTAACAAGCTGATGTCCACATCCGTAACCGCCAAAGACACCTGTTCAACGCTACCCAGTATGGAAAACGCCACCACCGGCACCATGATCAATGCAACAAACATGATGCAACCCTGAACAAAGTCCGTAAGGCTCACAGCAAGAAACCCACCAAACAGGGTGTACGCAACCACAACGCCGGCAGTCAGAAAAAAACCCAGCTCATAGCTGAGGCCGAAGGAGGCTTCAAACAGCTTTCCCCCGGCAACCACGCCGGAAGACGTGTACAGCGTAAAAAAAATGACAATAACAACCGACGACAGTACCCGCAGGGAATGGGAATTGTCTGCAAAACGCTTTTCAAAAAAGTCGGGAATGGTGATCGCATCGTCTGCAAGTTCGGTGTAAACCCGCAACCGGGGCGCGACCAACAGATAGTTAAAGTAAGCGCCAACAACAAGACCCACCGCAATCCATGCAGCGCTGAATCCTGTCAGGTAAATCGCACCGGGCAGCCCCATCAACATCCAGCCGCTCATATCAGACGCGCCTGCCGAAAGCGCACCAACCGCGGGGTGAAGATTTCGGCCGCCAAGCATGTACTCAGAGACATCACTGGTGGATTTCCGATACGCATACACACCGATGGCCATCATCAAAACGAAGTAGCCAGTCAGCGAAATCAATGCAGGATCATTTGTTATCATTTAGCGCATCCTTCAGGCACGTATCTGCCCATCACCGTGTACTTCATACTTGAAGCTGGTGAGTTGCTCTAGACCGACAGGACCACGGGCATGAAGCTTGCCGGTCGCAATGCCGATCTCTGCCCCCATGCCAAATTCACCACCGTCCGAAAATTGCGTCGACGCGTTGTGCATGACTACCGCCGAATCGATTGCCTGCATGAAGCTCCGAGCTGCGACCGTATCCTCGGTGAGAATTGCATCGGTATGACCTGACGAATGACGATCTACAAAAGCGATTGCCTCATCCAGGCCTGGCACAACTTTCACCGACACAATCTCATCAAGATATTCAGCATCCCAGTCACTCTCCGCAGCTGGTTTAATGCGCGCATCGCAGGCAACGGCCGTCGCGTCACCACGGATTTCACAATTTTCAAGTCGATCAACCAGCTTTGGCAGGAAGTCAGCGGAAATAACCTGATCGACCACCAGACTTTCGGTGGCGCCGCAGATTCCAGGACGGCGCAATTTGGCATTGCGAACCACCTCAATCGCCTTGTCTATGTCTGCAGCAGCATGCACGTAAGTGTGACAGTTTCCGTCGAGATGCAGAAGGGTTGGCACGCGCGCTTCGTCACGCACCAATTCAACCAGGCCGCGACCACCTCGGGGAATGACTAGATCAACATACTCAGTGCAGCGCAGAAGATGCGCAACCGCGTCACGATCAGGCGTATCAATGAACTGGACACATGCCTGGGGTAAACCTGCCTTGCGCAAACCATCCACCAGACAGGAAACGATCACCCGGGTTGAGTTAAGACTTTCCGACCCCCCTCGCAGAATCACTGCATTCCCCGACTTCAGGCACAGTGCGCCGGCATCCGCGCCAACATTAGGTCTCGATTCGTAAATCATGCCAACAACGCCAATAGGTGTTGCTATTCGCCGGATGTGCAGACCGTTCGGACGCCGATGCTCCATCAACAGCCGGCCTACCGGATCCGGCAGAGACGCTATGTCCCGTAGCGCTTGCGCCATGTCAGAAACACGCTCGAGCGTCAGCGTCAGCCTGTCTATAAATGCATCAGATTTCCCGGACTTCGCAACACTTGCCACATCCAGAGCATTGGCAGCAAGCAATTCATCAGCCCGCATTTCAAGATGGCTGGCAGCAGTTTCGAGGGCCTGATTTTTCTGCTCGGTCGTTGCCAAAGCAAGCATCTTTGCTGCAGCGCTTGCCTGCTGACCAAGGTGATCTACATAGTCTTGCATTTTGGTAACTGCGACCGCACTGGATATTGCCACTGAGTTCTCCTGGTTTTTTCTTTAAATTATTAATAGATGCCGGGCACCAGAGCGGAGGCCGAACTGGTCGCTACGGCGTGCAAAAATCTTTTAGATGCCGACGATTAGGCCTATTCGAGGCAGATTAACGAAGCTCCACAGCTCGCGCATACGCCGCTTCAACGGTCTGCTGCAGCAGGAGGTCAAGACCTGAATCTCGATTCAGGGCAGAAAGACCAGCTGCGGTGGTGCCATTTTTACTGATCACACCATCGCGCAGTTCACTTAACGATGCCTCGCTGGCCAGCGCTAATTCCACCGAACCTGCAAGCGTTCTCAACACCATCTCTCTTGCTTCAGGCTCTGAAAAACCCAACATCTGGCCGGCCTTCATCCAACATCGAGCGATCTCAAATACGTATCCTGGACCGCTTCCGGCTATCGCCGTTAAGCGGTCGATGTCGTCTTCATTATCGACCCAGATCAGCTGCCCGGTCGTTTCCATCAGCTTCGTAACCGTCTGCTGGTGCTGCTCAGATGAACAACGATTTGCATAGAGCGCGCTGACGCCTTTACCAATCTGCACCGGCATATTCGGCATGATCCGAACCAGCGATTTTTTACCGACCAGCGCCTCAATCGAGGCCGCCGCAAGCCCAGCAGCCATAGACATATAACAGCCACCCTCAACAAGCAGACCAATATAGTGAGGCAACAATGTGGGAATGACTTGCGGCTTAACGGCAAGCACAACGAGATCGAACTGCTCGCCAGCCAATTCTTCCGGCGAGCGCACAGACATCACATTGCCGGGCAATCGCCGCCCGGAAGGGGATACCACAGTAAAAATGAAATCGGACTGATCAAGCCACCGGGTCAGTAATGCGCCTCCCATTTTGCCGCAACCTACCATCAACACCCGCGTTTTTTCGCTCAAGGAAGTACCTTCTTAGTTAGTCTGAATGAGTAAATGCAGCGCAACGTTGCGCCATTGAGGACCTTACTATAATATTTAGACCACTAAGTATTCAACCCTCAATGAAATTTAAATTTTCTGGACACCTTCTTAAAAATAGTGCTTTTAGCAAGCTTTTGAGACCGCTCTCAAGCCCAAATTCGGCTTTTAGGGAAATATAATGCTTAGAGATCGAATTATAAATACAACAAATCACACGGATCGGAAGTACAGAATGACATCACGCGACAACGAATTTTTCGAATCAAAAAACGAACCCCAGACAGCTCAAACCAAACAACGTATCGTCGTAAAGGTAGGCACGAGCCTGCTGGCCAGCGCCGACCACCTGAAACCGAGATATGCATTCATGCATGGGCTGCTCAGCGATATCGCGGAACTTCAACAACAGGGGTTCGAAATTGTGCTGGCTTCTTCCGGCTCTGTCGCACTTGGCCTGAATTCGCTGCACGCCGATATTGAAAGCGCCGGCGTACAGGAGAAGCAGGCTGCGGCGGCATGTGGACAGCCCATCTTACTGAATGCCTATAAGCAGATCGCGCTTGAATACGGCTTCGACATCGCCCAGGTACTCGTTACGCTGGACGATCTGGAAGAGCGTCGGCGATTTCTGAACACCAAGAACACCGTACATACCCTGCTGGAGCATGGCGTGCTGCCCATCGTTAACGAAAACGATACCGTGACAACAGAAGAGATCCGAGTCGGGGACAATGACCGACTTGCAGCCAAGGTTGCGCAAATGATCCAGGCGCAGCATTTAATCATTCTCACAAGCGTCGACGGCCTGTACGACCGCGACCCCTCCGAACCCGGCGCGCAGCTTGTCGAAACTGTTGAAGATGTCAGCGAATACCTGGCAGTCACGAGCGGCACAAGCCAGCTTGGCAGTGGTGGCATGTTGACCAAAATGCAGGCAGCTAATATGGCCCAGAATGCCGGTTGCACCACACTGATATCCCAAGGCGTTCTGGACCGACCAGTTTCTTCTGTACTCGAAGGCGCGCGACCGCACACCCGCTGCGTCGCCAAGTCCACACCTTCTTCAAGCTGGGCGATCTGGCTGACAGATCGCCTGCAGATGGCTGGCAGCCTGGTATTAAAGCAGGCTGCGGCCGACGCGCTTGAACAGAGTGAAAACGGCATTCTGTGTCGAGACGTTGTGTCCCTGCACAGCACCTTTCAGAAAGCCGACGTCCTGCATATCTATGACGAACAGGGCGTCGAACGCGCTCGCGGACTCTCCAACCTGTCCTCAGATGAAGCCGCACTGATTGCGCAGAACGCAGACCGCCCTGTCAAAGAGCTGCTCGGCTATCAAACCGCAGGGCGGCTGGTTAACCGTAACAACCTGGTCCTCCTCGAAGACCATCACCTGCCATGGGAAGAGCCAGAGAATCCACTCCGAGTCATCACCCCTTAGCAATTTTGTCTTTTCGACGATTTCAGAGAGGTTAGCGTTAATGAATGAGCTTCACGACCAAGTGCTGGTATCCCTCCGCAGAATTATTCGAGCGACGGACTTACACTCACGAAAACTAGGCAAGGAAACAGGGCTGACAACCCCCCAACTGGTTGTCATGCGAGCCATACAACAACAGGAAAGACCTGTGGCGAAGGAACTCGCGCGCTCTGTAAGCCTGAGCCAGGCCACGATAACCAACATCTTGAACCGACTGGAAAGCCATGAGCTGATACAACGGGCGCGCAGCAAGAATGACAAACGGCGCATCAATATCAGCCTGACCACTCAAGGCAGAATCCTGCTGGAGGCTGCGCCGCAGCCATTGCAGGAGAACTTTATCGAACGTTTTGGCGCGCTCAAAATCTGGGAAAGGCATCAGCTGATTGCCTCCCTGGAACGCCTGGCATCCATGATGGACGCAGAGCACCTTGATGCCGCACCTTTACTGACCGCAAGCGAAGACATGCATTGATGTCAGGCAAACAAAAGAAACAGGTGCTTATTGACCATAATACCCGCCGATCGCCAGGACACCTCTTCGGTGCCACCCAGATTTACTCGGAAATAACGCACAGACATTTGCGAAATAACCACTAAACTCCACCAGGAGAGAGTGGAGAAAGTTATGTTGAGAGTACTGTCAATAATGCGGCAGGTCGCCCTGCTGGCTTGCGGAATCCTGTTAGCTGCCTGTGTCAGCGATCAAACCCATCAATACGGCACCTACCAAGCGCCTAAAATCTGCCCCGACGATCGAGTTCAGTATTGTGATGACCGCACGGGCCGAGGGTGCACGTGTATTCGCAAGAGCGAAATTCGCGCGCTGATGGCGAAGTTCTAGGCGCCCCTGTACTGCTAAAACTGAGACGCCCAGGTCGACAGACAGGTGTGCCATAAGCGCATGCCTGTGCCGACTCAGGCCGCCTGCAGCATGGCCCTTAGCATCCATGCCGTTTTCTCGTGGATACGCATGCGATCTGATATTAAAGCTACCGACGATTCGTCATCACCCGCCTGCGCCTTCTTTAGAGCCTCGCGGCAGGTGCGCACCACCTGCTCGTGTGAGGCTTTCAGAATCACCACCATCTCTTGAGCAGGTGGAACATCACTGACCTCTTCAATCGCGCTCAATTCCGCGAATTCCTTATACGTACCAGGGGCACTTACCCCCAGCGTTCGGATTCGCTCGGCTATGTCGTCAACTGCCACCGCCAGTTCCGTGTAGTGCTCCTCAAATAACAAGTGCAATTCGCGGAACTGAGGACCAGTGACATTCCAGTGAAAATTGTGCGTCTGCAGGTACAAGGTGTAGCTGTCCGCCAGCAAATGCTTCAAAGCCTGCGCGATTTCCTCACGGTCAACGGAATCAATACCAATGTTGACGTTTTCCATATTCAAATAACCATCTCTTTAGGAGCTTTTACTCTACCCAGCATCTATTCATATTTAAAATCGATTATTTCTATACTTCTGATAGGTTATGACTATAAATCTATTCAGAACCCGCGGACACTGGAATGCTAGATTGCTTATAAAACAGGTTCTCGTCCAACTATTGTCTACATTAATCCTGTAATAATTTAATATTTCTCCTGTTTTCCTTGACATGACTTAGACATAAGCCTACCTTTGTCTAACTCAAACAGGAATTACTTAGACAAATGCAAACCAATTCATCACAACGTAGTAACAGAGATCGTTCAAACAGCCATGCCATCGCTGTCGCTAAACAACAGGAACTTCGACCCCAGGTGGCGGGCGCACTGGTTGCGGTACTCACAATCTGGCTCACCGCGGCAGCAGCGATCAGCGCAATAGTGGCATCATGACACCGCGCCAGCTGAAACGTCTTGCCCAGCGCGAAGACGTACGAGCCCATATCATCAGTGACGGCTGTCGAGACTACATCGTCGAAATAGTCGGCGAAAATGGTGCTGGATTGCTGCGCCGCCGAGGGCGGCCAGTACGGTTCCGCAGCCTCTCAGAAGCCAACGACAAGCTTAAAAAGTGTCGCGTTCGCCGCGCAGTTTTACGTCACCGGGCGGCCCATGACGAAGCCTGCACCTTTCCGTCGGGAGCGGCGTGCTATGACGACCTTCCGCTGACACTGGCTGGTTAGGTACAGCACTTCTTGACCGTGGCGGATCGCATTTCACGGCGACTTCACAGACTTCGGCTTCTTATCCGTAGTTGTATCTATCTCGGAGGCGACGACGATCAAACGTGTAGTACTGGCAGTCGCCATCAGCATGGCCGGCTGCTCAGGTCCGGAGACGTCAATCAACCCGGAAACGGCTGGCCAAGCCCGTTCCATCCCGGTAACAGCCGAACCTGTCGTGATGCGATCCGAGCGAAGCCGCATCAACGCTGTCGGCATTTCGCGCGCGCTGCGCTCTGCTGAAATTTACGCCGCTGCAACAGGTGAGGTCGACGCAGTCCACTTCGGTGGCGGCGAAAAAGTAGCCGCCAACAGTTTACTGCTTACCTTGGACGCCCGAGATGAGCGCCTGGCAGTCGCACTCGCGGAGGTGCAACTGCAGGATGCCGAAACAACACTAACGCGATATCAGAAGGCGCGGGGCGCCAATGCCGTACCTCCAACAACACTGGACACAGCCAGGACCGCACTGGAAAGTGCTCGTATCACCCTGCAAAGGGCCCAGGTTGCGCTCGACGATAGATACGTGCGCGCCCCGTTCCAGGGTATCGTTGGACTCACCGATGTGGAGCCGGGAGATCGAATAGATGAGAGTAATCTCATCACAACCATCGATGACCGCTCTTCTCTACTGGTGCAATTCGAAGTGCCTGAAGCTTTTGTCGGACGGGTGTCGGAAAGTGATCGCGTCAACATAGAAACCTGGACAGTCGATCGGATAAAAGCCTCAGGCACAATCGTTGCGCTGAGCAGTCGCATAGAACCAACAACCCGAGCCATTCGTGCACGCGCGCAGATACCCAATCCTAACGACCAACTTCGTCCGGGCATGAGTTTCCGCGTGGTCCTCGATTTAGAGGGCGCGGTCTGGCCTGCGGTACCCGAGCTTTCTTTACAATGGGGTGCAAGCGGTCCCTATATTTGGACCGTGAGCGAAGGGCTGGCAGAGCGCATCAACGTCACTGTCATCCAGCGCCTGGATGGCAGGATCCTGCTGGATGCACCTTTGACCACCGAAGACCTCGTCATCGCCGAGGGTGTGCAGCGCATGCGTCAGGGCACCCGGGTGGAGGTGCTTGACGCCCAGGCTCTGACTGACGACACAAGGGGGCTGTTAGGTACGGCCGCAAGCGCACGGTGAGCGAGCCTCAGGACAGCCTGCCCGCCTTAGGTGTACGCCGACCCTGGCTGGTAACCGTTCTTCATCTGCTGATTGTCATCGCCGGGCTGGCTGCACTGCTTGGCGTCGAAGTGCGCGAGTTGCCCGACGTCGATCGCCCCATAGTGAGCGTGCGGGCTGTATTCCCGGGTGCATCACCAGAAACCATGGATGCGGAAGTCACCAGCCTGATAGAAGGCGCTGTCGCCAGAGTTTCAGGCGTTAACACGCTGGAATCTTCCTCGGAAGAAAACAGCGCCCGGATAAGGGTCGAATTTCAACCCGGCATTAATCTCGACGCAGCAGCAGCCGACGTGCGCGAGGCTGTCAGCCGCGTCGAACGAGAGTTACCGGACGGGCTCGAACAGCTGACCGTGTACAAATCAGACGAAGATGCTGAGCCGATTGTGGTGCTCGCAGCATCAAGCGATCTTTATACCGAAGAAGCGCTGACTCGGATCGTGGAAAAGGACATAGTCCCCGAGCTTATTTCAATAGCCGGTGTTGCTGATGTACCTCTGTTTGGGCAGCGCCAACGCTTCCTGAGAGTGGCCGTCGATCCATTACGTATGACCAGTTACGGTCTCAGCATCAGCGACCTTGCAGATGTTCTGCGCGAAGCGGCTCTGGATGTGCCTGTTGGCAGCTTTCGCTCCCGCGACCAGGATTTACTGGTGCGAACAGATGCCTCCGCCGTTACCGAAGAGGCCATCGCTGACCTGGTGATTCGAGATGGCATCCGCGTAGCTGATGTTGCCAGCGTTTTGTTTGCGCCGGAAGACGCGCAATCTTTCGGCCGACTTAACGGCCGTCGTGTAGTGGGGTTCGAAATCGTACGCCAGGCTGGTTCAAACACCATAGAAATCAGTGCAGCGGTTGACCGGGCGCTGACAGGTCTTAACCAGCGCCTGGACGGCGTAAAGATCACCAAGATCTCCGACAACGCCGAATTTATCAGCGGTTCAGTCCGGGAAGTTGTACGCTCCCTGGCCCTTGCAACGCTGGTTGTGTGCGGCGTGATCTGGCTGTTTTCCGGCTCATTGAGAATTACGCTGGTGCCCAGCCTGGCAATCCCTATTGCCCTGCTTGGCACGCTCGCCGTCATTTGGATGCTCGGATTCTCCATCAACATCCTGACGCTGCTCGCACTGGTTTTGGCGACAGGCCTGATCGTCGACGACGCGATCATCGTGCTGGAAAACGTACAACGACGTCGCCAGGAAGGGTTAGGGGCCAAAGCTGCCGCTGTGCTGGGCACCCAACAGGTATTTTTCGCGGTTGTTGCCACCACAGCCGTTCTAATAGCAGCGTTTGTACCCATCGCGTTTCTACCCGGTACCGCTGGCCGATTGTTTCAGGAGTTCGGCATTGTGCTCGCCGTGGCGGTGACGATTTCTTCATTCGTTGCATTGTCTCTGGTTCCGGCCTCTCTCGCAGGCTTCGCCGATGGCGGAACGGCAAACGCCAGCCGACCCCTCGCCCGCATCGGTAACCGCCTGACCGGCTTCTACGAAAACGCGCTGAGCACCTCACTCCGTCATCCTGTCATAACAGCGAGTTTTGCCATCATTCTGGGAGTGGGGGCAGCAGCGATGTATCCTCTGCTCGGCCAGGAGCTGCTGCCCGATGAAGATCGCGGCACGCTCTATGTCACCGCGTCTGGCCCTGACGGCGTCGGTCTGGCATACACGGAAAGACAGGGAGATCGGATCGAAGATGTGTTGCAGCCATTGCTGGACAGCGGCGAAGCAACCGCACTGTATACCATCATCGGTCGTTACGACCCAAACCGAGCCCAGGTTCTTGTGCGCCTCGCTCCCTGGGACGAAAGACAACGTAGCCAACAGGATATCGCAGCAGAACTGCAGCCCATCCTGTCCAGAATGCCTGGCGCCAGCGTGCGCGTATCGAGCCCCAACAGTTTGGGTCTGCGAGGCGAAGGGGGATTGGAAGTTGCGCTCGTTGGTACCGACTACACAGAAATTTATCAGGCTGCACGCGAACTGGCTGATGAAATCGAAACAGGACTACCAAATCTCATTCGGCCCCGAGTGTCCTACCAGCCAACTCAGCCACAGATCTCGATCGAGGTCGACCGCCGACGCGCGACGGATCTCGGCGTGCCCCTGGCCGATCTCGCAAGCACACTCAGGGTTATGATTGACGGTATGGAGGTAGTGGACCTGAACGTCGGCGACGATGCGATACCCATCTTTCTCGAGGCACCCAGTGCGACGATCAATGAACCCTCAGACCTCGCCAACTTATATGTCAGGTCAGGAGACTCGAGCCTTATTCCTCTGTCAGCCCTGGTTAGCCTCAAAGAGGAAGGTGTTGCGGCAGAGCTAGATCGACACGCTCAGCGCAGGGGTATTGAGATTGACGCCGACGTTCGCACCGGCTATCCATTACAGTCGGCGGTAAGTGACCTTCGCTCATCGGCCGATAGAATCCTTCCCCAGGGCATCACGTTTATTCCGCTGGGTGCAGCAGCCACGCTGGAGGAAACCAATCGTGACGCTCTGCTAACGTATGCGTTTGCACTGCTGATCGTTTTACTTGTACTCATCGCTCAATTCGAGAGTATCACCAGCGCTCTGGTCGTCATGTTGATTGTACCCTTTGGTCTCGCCGCAGCATTGTTTGCCCTGTTTGTTACCGGCACGACACTGAACGTTTACTCTCAGGTGGGGTTGATCATGTTAGTGGGTCTTATGGCAAAGAACGGCATCATTTTAGTAGAGTTCGCCGACCAGCTGCGGGACCAGGGCGCTAGCGTCACTGATGCCATTCAGAAAGCTGCACAGGTACGCCTGCGGCCCATCGTCATGACACTGGTGTCGACCGTCTTCGGAGCGCTGCCATTAATCCTCTCCACTGGGCCGGGTGCGGAGGCAAGACATGCAATCGGTTGGGTCGTATTTGCCGGCCTTGGTCTGGCTGCTGTATTTACACTCTTTCTGACCCCGCTTGTTTATCGGTTCATAGCACCCTTGTCTAAACCCCGGGGCAATGCCGCAGCATCCCTCGAACGTGAATTGCAGCAATGAGCAATGAAGATGGTTTCGAAATACCACCGCAATATTTGCAACGTGCCGATAGCTCACCCGATGAGTTGTTTTATCGCGAACCACGTTTCGTCGCGCACATCGACGAGGCGACAATCAATGCCCTGACTGAATATTACCTGGAATTTATACCATCCCATGCGCGGGTCCTCGATCTGATGTCCTCCTGGATTTCACATCTACCCGATGAACTTGAGCTGAGCAGAGTGGCAGGGTTAGGTATGAACGAGGCGGAACTTTCCAGAAACCCTCGGCTGACCGACTACTGTGTACACAACCTGAATGACAACCCGCGGCTGCCATATGAACCGGGGACTTTCGAACGTGTGACCCTGGCTGTTTCGGTGCAATATCTTATCCAACCAATCGACGTCATGTCTGCTGTTAGAGATGTCCTTACAGAAGGTGGCGCGATCTGCATCGCTATGTCACATCGGCTGTTCCCAACTAAAGCAGTAGCGGCCTTTCAGCAGCTCCCAGTCAGAGATCGAATACAACTCGTTGGCTACTATCTCGAGCGCGCCGGGTTCAGAGACGTCACTTTTGCTGATCGGTCACCTGAAGGTGCAGACCCGTTGTGGCTGGTTACCGGCACTAGGTGATCGCCTCCTCCTGACAATATGGGGCAATCACCCCATACCTCGCCCACCGGATATCCCCTACTTTGCCTCCACACTAACGAAGTAATGGATCTGTCATGTGGTGGACACATCGTCGTCATATCGGTTTAACGGTCGCTTTTTTTTCACTGACGCTGGCAATGTTAACCTCAGTCTCAATACCCAGCGCTAACGCCGCTCGGGCCAACCTGCCTACCGCCAACGAAGTCAAACCGGGCAAGAAAATGCGGATCGACGGAGAGTACCGCATATCAACCCTCAACAAACGGGTATTGGTAGATCGTGGCAGAGTGATCGCCCTTGAAGGATGGAAACACATGCTGTTTTGGGATATCGACCCTGGCATGGTCGTTATCCGCGACGTCAAACATATCGGCAACGGCAGATTTAAAGGTCGCGATCTACCTCTAGATGCAGATTGGCAGGCCCAACATAACAAAGCCAATCGCAGCCTGAGCGTTGTCGCCACCGGTCCGATGGGTACAACCCGCTATGAACTTGTACCCGTAGGAACAAGTTATGAAGACGTAGCAGAAACTCCCGAACCCAGGATCACACAGGTTAAAGCGAAGCGCATGGGCGATGCTGTGTTACCGGTAGTGAGTTCATGCCCTGGCAAACAATCCTATTTATCTGGAGGCAGCTGCTGGACCTGTCCGAATGACTACAAGCGAGCCAAACTCACCAGGGAAATGGACCACCCCAAAGCCTGTGTCAAACGCAATTCCTGGGGTAAGGGTCCGTTCAAATCAGCCAAACGCAAGAACATGGCTGGCGCCCGATGCCCCTCAGGCCAATTTCATATTGCAGAAAAAGGTGTGAACGGCTGCTATCGATGCCCGCAAGGCTATAGCCGCGATAACTCGACCAGAAATTCCGCCATGTGTTTGAGCAGACAAGGTTAACTGCCAAATGAAGTCGGTATGTTCACAGCCTTCAATCGTGCGATGGACTCTGTCGTTTTGCTGCGGCTTAGCAGTTTTCGTGGCTTCAACAGGACATGCCTTGATACCCGGCATGTTGCCAAACAAAAACGATGTACCGCAAACAGAGAGATCGGCAATTGATGGCGATTGGGTCATCTCGCTCAATAACAAGCGGATCCGCATAGAGCAGGGACGCGCCTACGCTCTGGACACCTGGCAGCACGCCCTCATCTGGACCATCCTGCCAGATATGGTTGTCCTGCAGAACATCGAAACTGTCGGGCCGGGGACATTCGAAGCCGACGATTTACCCCTGCTGGGTCGAGCACAGATGCAGCGGCTCGATAGCGGAGATCTCGACGTTACCGTATCCACCGCTCTGGGACCGGTCAGATACCAGCTCCGACCGGTTCAGTCATTTGTATCGGCGGAAACAGTTGATCCCGAGGAGCGCGTTGATCCTGCCGATGATACCTATGTCGAAGAACAGGACATCGCCGTCTTTGAGACTGAGTCTGGACCTGGACCTGAGCCTGAGCCTGAGCCTGAGCCTGAGCCTGAGCCTGAGCCTGAGCCTGAGCCTGAATACGATTTCGAAGACGAAACCACCATATTCACCGAGCCGACAACAACCCGGCTTCCAGGCGGTAACCCGCAAAAACCAGTGCAAGCGCCGGCACCTGAATTTCTTACCTATGACGTATTCACGGGCTGCCAGCCCGACCAACCAAGCGCCCCAGCGGGCGTAAGCCCGCGGGAACGTATCGAGTCACGAGTAGATCGCGTCACCCAACGTCAATTTGCCGGGTTCACACTTGACGAAGCACGCGTCAACACCACAGATGACAAGCAGTTGGGTGTTTGTTGGATGCGCCTGGATGGTGTGTGGCAGGAAAATAGAAATATCAGTTTGGATCGCAGCAAAGATCAACCGGATATCTGGGGTACTGATTCACCGGAGTTGATTGTACTCGCTAACGGCAACTACACCGACCCTCGACACCTCTTCATAGGCAGCGTCGGCCGCGATGACCAGGAAATATGGGTATCCGATGGGCTTTCCGCCAACGGCTTTGTCCACTTCATCAGCAACGATGGGTTAACCCTCACCGAAACCCTAACAGAGAATGGTCCAACCAAGACTTATCGGGCCAAAGGACCCAGCTATCTGGGCCAAAGCCTCAAAGTAGATTTAACCGCCTCAAAAAGAGCGCGCTTACGGCTTAACAACTTAATTTACCTACGACCCACCCTCGAACTATCCGAGGCGGCCATGCAGGAGCAGATGGCGTCTAACGATGCTTTTCTCTTGCAGGCCAACCTGGAAAACCTGGTTGCCAGCAGACGAGGATACGACGCCGTAAAGCAAGATCCATTTTTCCTGCTCAACAATAAAAAAATGGCTGTTTTTGCGGAGTTTGACCCCAAGCGCTATTACATCACCGAACAGCGCATTATCCCGGTTGGTTACAAGTTTGTGCAGAACGGCGTGCAGGGTATGATCTACAACAAGAGCATGACCACCACCGCTCGAGAGTATCAGGATTCTATCAGCACAACTCTGGGTGCCACGCTGGAAGGGAAAACCGACCCGGCGGGTTTTGGTGGCAATGCATCTGTCAGCGTTGACGCGTCTGCATCCTGGTTAAAGCGTATGGAGGAGAGCAAACACGTCGCTCAGGCCATCGGCTATTCCCGCGCAAAAAAGTATGCCCTCGTCCTCGACCACCCGTTTGTCACGTTATCGGATGATTTTATTGACGCCATTGACGATGCGCGTGAGATTGGTAACTACGAACACATCATCCGCCAGTTTGGTACACACTATCCCTATGCAGTGACGTACGGCGCGGCAGCCAAGATTACCCAATCTGTAACCGAAGAGCGTTTCAAAAAAGTAACTGAATGGAATGCTGGAGTGTCCGCCTCAATGGCTGGCGGCGCCCTGGGGCAAAACGGATCTGTACGCGGCAGCATTAACGCCGGCAGCGTGAGTGGCACTTCCGGCAGTTTAGGTACCGAGGATACAACCTTTGTTGCAGTGGGCGGCAATGGATCATGGAACGAAAATGGCTACTCACTCGGCCCCACACCCTACCCAATCCTGCTGGATCTACGGCCTCTGCATGAATTGCTGAATCATTTGAACTTCCCCGATCAGCCAGAGGTGTACACCCAGGTTCGCGCCGGATTAAAGCGTACGTTAGAAGCTTACATCCAAAGCCACGCCGACAAAGTCAGTGATCGCAGCCTGTTGCCTGCGATTCAACCCTTAAAACTGGAAACCTGGCATCTGTATGTGCGTGAGGTCTGGTGTACCGGCAAAGGTGCCGGATTAGTCCACAGCGCGACGGGTAAGCTCGAGATGGAAGCGTTTATGGGGAATAAATCCAAGGGTTACCTGAGCACGCCGCACAAAAACTTCGAAACCAAGTGCAAGAAAAAGAAAGAAGTTATTAAACATAGCTACAAAAAGAGCAGCCCCGGACTCATCGAGATCACCGGCACTCGCGAACAGATTGCCGCTTACGCGATGAAGCTGCGCCTGCAGTGGCGCTACACGCCCAGCAATAAAAACAAGTGGCGCAACCACAGCAAAACGTTTGTTGGAATCAGCGCCCTTAAAAACGGACTTGCTCGAGGTAAAACCAAAGATCAGATCTGGAAAGTAGGCAGCAAAGGCAAACCGGATTTCTTCTTCCGCGTTCGCGCAAAACGAATCCGTTAGTTAAAGAGGATATATGAGAAGCTTCAAAACAATCAAAAGAACTGCTGCGGTACTGTTTACCACAGCGACTATTGCTGCGCACGCGGAGTACACACCGGACACCATTGAATTTCCAAGCTCTGCGCCTCTGGCATTCGACTCCGCACCAATATTGAGTCTTCCCGAGGGCGGTGCCATCGAGTTCTGGGTAGGGACGGATTGGGCCGACAACCCAGGCTATCATCCGGTAATTCTCGCCAATGGCAGCGCAGAATCACCCATCTATCAGATATCCATTTCGGCAAATCAGGACGCACTACTTGTCCAGACGGGGCAGGATTTTGGCCAGTTTCCTTTCAACTTCTCAGATGGACGCACGCATCATGTCGCCCTATTAGATTTTGCTGAACAAATGATCGCCTTTGTCGATGGCAAACTCCTCGGCTCAGTTGAAATGTCTATTCAGCCAGGTCCAATTAATGAGTTTATCGTGGGTTCCGCATCCGGCGGCAAAGCGCCATTTATCGGCGCTGTTTCGGCGATACGGATCTGGGATGTACCCCCGGAGCCAGAGGACACCGCAGTGTTTGCGCTGCGCGATGTGAACGATGCAAGCGATCCTCATCCGAACCTCGACAACCTGGTGGGCATCAGCGATTTCCGCAATGGCACGTTCTCGATTGTCGACAGCTTGGTGCTGAACGAATCTGAATTAATGACTCGCGCCGAGGTAATCGAGACACTCGGCGAGGCAGAAGTGCAGGCACTCGATCAGGAATTTGCATCAGCAGCAGGAGATAACAATGAATAGAATCATAACAATGCGCTCACCAACTGCCTTGGTCATCCTGGTGATAGCCCTGTTGCTCAACGGCTTACCCGGTATCACGGAAGCAGCAAGTGCCAGAGTGAAACCACAAAAACCAGTATCTACCGCACACGCAAAAAAGCTGCAGAAAAAGTCCATCGAGCGGAAAACGCGAAACCTGAAGAATCTCACCACACGCATTGATGGCATGGTTGCTCTGGTCACGGACATGCAGCAGCGTAACGTCACAGACATGATGGCAGACAACCAGACCAGGGCGCGGCTGCATGATCTCGCAAAACGTCAAGGTAATCTGAAAAGAGAACTGGTGAAGCTCAAAGAGCAGTCTGTGCAGCAGTACGCTGCATCCCGCGGCATAACCTTGATCCCGGCACCACCCACGACAGCGCCACCGCCTCTTCCCTCGACCCCAGCGCCGAATACCAACCAGCTGGCGGCTCCGCAACAGACCGCCCAGCCAGTGAAATCATTCTTACCCCCAGGCGGCGCGGCCAAAGTCACCATAGACCCACAGATTTAGTGCAGAGCCGCATGACATTAACGCATCCGATCGCGTGGGTTTTCCTGTTAGTTATGAACAGCGTGCACGCCGCGAGTTACGAGCCCGACATCCTCGAATTCACCGCCAGCAGCGATTTGGCGTTTCCGAGCCATACCGCCTTTGCACTTGCCGAACAAGCAACCGTGGAGATGTGGGTGGCTTCAGGCTGGCAGGATGATCCTGACTACGATCCGGTTCTGCTCTATCACGCCAGTGAGGATGAACATTTATACGTACTTAGCATGCTGGGAGACCAATCGGGGTTGTCTTTACAGGTGGGTGACAGTGTCGATGAGCTACCGTTCTCTTTCTCTGATGGTCGCTTACACCATGTTGTTTTGATCAATCTCAGCGGCAGCGTCGCGTTGATGGTGGACGGCCAGATCCTCGGGCGTTTTAACATCAGTTTACCGACCGGGTCCGGCAGCACTTTCAGATTAGGCAGTGCACCAGGTCCAAGTGCCTCATTCGTAGGCGCGATCGGCGGGCTACGTATCTGGGACATCGCGGTTGAACAGGATGTTCTGATCACCTACGCACTGGCTGACATTTTCAGTGCCACTAACCCGCATCCGGATATAGATTCGCTGACTGCTTACAGCGACCTGCATAACAACACCATCGAACTTATGCCTGAGGCTGGGGAAATTCAATGAAACACGCCTACCTGATCAGTTTTGCCATCATGCTTGCAATTTGGGTTCTCCCGGCGGCCAACGCTGCATCGAAAGGCAAGCCGACGGCGGCCAAAGGTACCCAGGCACAATCTATAAACGCTGGCGCAAAAAAAACCAGTCCGGTTAGACGCAAAGCCTCTCAATCCAAACACGCGATGATGAGGGCCAGTCAAACTGCAAAGACGCTGGAGTCGCAGCTTACCCTTGCCAGAAATGGTGAACAAAGTGTGCGCAGGCGGTATGAGGGTCAATCCGGATCCCAGGCACGCAACGCGATCCGCCAGGCGACCCTTGAGCGGGCTAACCTCGAGAATCAATACAGTGACGCCATGCAACGTCTGCAAAGCGCTCGTGCGACGTATCGTCAGGCCAGAGCACAGCTACGCACAGAGAGAAGGACACAGTGGCAGAATCAGACAAGCCGGCCAACACCACGTCCCACCCAATCGAAAGCACGCAAATTGACCTTCGCGGCCCAACCATTGGGACGGACTGGATCAGGCAGCACGCGTCCAGCGGCCGCAGTCAGGGGGATACTGAAAACCAGCAGTCGCGATGTGGCGCCTAACTAGAAGGCAACAACCAAACGTGGCGCTATAGATCTGTTTCCTGTCTGGCTAGCAGACCTTCCCGGGCCGCCCAACCCATCAGCTCCGACACCGAATGCAGATCCAGTTTTGCCATGATGCTTGTACGGTGCTTGTCTACCGTTTTTGGTGAGATGCTGAGCTGTTCCGCTATCTCTGGGTTCGTTTTACCACTGAGGACAATCACCAGCACCTGCCGTTCTCGTGGGGTCAGTTCATGCAGAGGATCAGGACCAGTATCCATGCGTTCAATGATCGCATGAGCAATATGCCGACCACCGTTGAGGATAATCGGCAGCGTACGTTCGAACTCGTCCATCGCACTACCTTTGGCAAATGCGCCGTCGACATTCGCAGCCACAAGCGCCGCGAGAACTCGCGGCGTGGTTACCGCAGTGAAAATAACCACCTTGGTTTCTGGAGACCAGCGCCTCACATCCAGCAGGATCTCTTCGCCGCTGGCAAGAGGCATCGTGACATCAAGCAGAAGAAGATCCGGTTTATACCGTTTGATGAGTGAGACAGTCTCGATCCCATTGCTGGCCTCGCCTACAATGTCGAACTTTAAAGCAGACTGACGCACCAGAGTGACACGCAGGCCATCGCGCACGATCTCATGATCGTCGGCGATGACAACAGAATAGGCCTGCTTCATCTGTGACAATTTCTCTGCGCACACCCTATCGACTTTGTAATATATGGGTTATTGATACCAGCGATTATTGAAATCATCCATTCAACTCCAGCAAATTTGTTTTTATGAAGCTCACAATACCGGCGCTTTGCTGCGCTCTGCTAACTGGCTGTATCGAGCCTCCATCACCGACGGAAATGGTAACAAGTTCCATCTCAGTAAACGTGAGCGGGTGCCCGGAAAATGTCGCTCCAGTTAGCATCGCACCCAATGATAAAATCATCTGGACGCTGGACAACAACAGTTCAGGCTATCCAGCCGTCGAAGCTTTCGGCATAACGTTTGAGGACTACAACCCGACCTACTGCGTGGACCAGGCATTTGTGGCTAAAAACGAGGGAATCACCTGCACAGTCAAGGTCGACGCAAAACTTGAACCCATCTGTTATACCGTTTCAACACGTATTAACGGCGGTATGCAGACCTGTGAAGAATGTTTCACCCTGAAGATTGGCGAACGCGTTACGGATCTGCAAACCGGCTCGCCTTCGCCAGGCATGTCCGCTAGGTAAGCGTTACCGTTACGGCAGTGCCTTGCCCGGATTGAGAACGTAGTCGGAAATCATAGCCCTGAGATTCGCAAAGATCCTGAACTATACTCAAACCCAGACCATCACCGCCTGAGTCCGGCCCTTTTCCACCTTTCTCCATGGCACGCCTGATGGCATGCGCATCCATACCAACCCCATCGTCATAGACGGTGAATTCAACCGTCTCCTGACGGCGCCGCAGGGTCACTAATATGCGGCTGGCGTTCGCGTGTGCCAGCGCGTTGGCCACAAGATTCATGAATATGCGCATGGTGACAAGAGGCACAACAGACACAGTTGCCTTTTGGCATAGCACCTTAAAACCCACACCAGCATGCAAGGCTTCGTCCGCGAACATCTGTTCAAGGCTTTCAGCAAATAAACGAGTGGACACCATTTCACTAGCCCCACCCCCACTGCTAAGCGCTTCATCATCTGCACCGGCGCCCTCACCATCGAGCTGATTCGGTGCAATAAATGTCTGCGCCAGCTGGTCAACATAATCGATAGCCCGATTCAACGTGCTCGCCTTGTCACCATCAACTTCCATGCTGCCAACCGCCATCCGCAGCGCTGATATGGGCTGCTTCAGATCGTGCGAGACTTTGGCGAGCTGGCTACGCTGCTGAGCCGCAATCGATCGCGCGCGCTCATACTGTTTTTCCGACTCTACAAGCGCAAGCTGAAGCTCCGCTTCGCTCTTTGCCGTTTCGAGCGCCTGCCGCTCCATCTCCTGCTTTGCTTTTGTTGTTGCAAATGCCTGCCATAACACCAATACCATGGCAAAACTGACAAACACAGCGATACTTATGCGTGCCAGTGTGTTCAGCTCTTCCTGAGACAGCTCCAGAAACGCCTGACTCACGCCCGCCGAACCAAGAATGAATAATCCAACGACAACTGGAAAAGCCAGCACCAGCCGCCGTTGCACCGGACCTAACGCCTGCCAGGTTAAGGGTGGCAGGATCTGAGCAATAATCATAACGATGTAAAGAATCTGCTCCGGTATCCACATCAGATTCAACGGAATTCTGCGCAACCAGAAATAGCTGGTCAAAGGGCCTACTGCGGCGGCTAAACCCAGCGCATAGAACCATTTTCTATATCGTGCCAATGCATGCTGTTCTTCCAGCAGCCACCCGGCCATCCAGAACCCGTAGACAGTCAGACCGCTAAAAACCAGATAAGGGACAACAAACAGATTAAAGTCCGTGGGACCAACGATATAAGAGACAACCCCACCCGATGCTGCCGCGTTCAGCACCATGAGCGCTGCAAAGCCTGCGTAAACAAGCCATCGGTAGGCGCCTATCGCGGCCAGAATAGCGGAACTGAACAACACTGCGCTGATGACAAAGGTGAAAAATATATAATCGCCCATGCCGGGCACAAAGTTTTCAGTAAGTGCCTGGACGGGTACGGGGCCACAGGCAAACACCAGCCCACCGACATAGGGTAGGCGTCGGGTACTTCGCTTGGTATTCATGCGATGTGGCATATGACCATTATGACCCACGCACGTACATCTGCCATGGGGCCATCACCCCAAATTTGGACCAATAAACGTAACCCAGCGCCAGCACTGAACGATAAAATGCAGCCCACAACCTGAGCCGCGCCGCACAAGCAGGCTCGGAAAGCCCGGTCAGCTTTGGTAATGTGCCCGCTATTCTCAGAAAAATCGACCGCGCCATGAGCAACATCGAAACGACAACGCCTGAACTGGACATTCCCGAAGTTGCATCCGCAAACGCACCGTCCAATAACCAACAACTTTTCCTGCGTTACTTTACGGCCATCCTTACTGATCTTGTGGTGTTAAGCCTGTTCGCTGAATACTGGTCTCTTGTCACGATAGACTCTTTTACCATCGCACTGCTTGCCGCAATTTTGTTGCAGCTGCTGTTAAAGCTGACCCTGCTTGTAGAACACAAGGTCGCCAACGTATTTAAAGGCAGGCCCGGCGCAACTGCAAAAGTACTGCGGATATTCTGCGCCTGGCTGATCCTGTTCAGCTCCAAGTTCGTTATTTTATTCGCGATTGATTTTGTATTTGGCGACGCCGTCACGTTTGCCGGCCCTCTGCACGGCGTTGTTGTCTTCGTTGCAGTTGTGATTGCTATCCTGGCCAGCGAGGAACTTCTGGTGCGTTTCTATCGAAGCCTCGCCTAGTCGAATCGCGTCAGCTCGCCACAACTTCGCCCGCCGCTCGAGCGTCCAGTTCCTGCCGGATGGTGCGTCCTGCCATGAGGAAATGTGCGCCCGCCCAGAAATAGGCAAAGGTTGCAATCAGAATCGCGTACTGCAATGAATCGGCACCAAAGCTTGGGCTGAGCAGGTCGCTGAGCACACCCACCAGGAAGGGGCCCAATCCGAGGCCGATGATATTCAACACAAACAACAGCATCGCGGATGCCATCGCCCGCATTGGTGCAGCCGCCAGATTCTGGATGGTGCCAAAGGCCGGACCCAACCACAGTGAGTTAAGCAGGCTGGGCACCACCATGATGGCGATCGCCAGATAGGGATTGGCAACCAGCATACCCACCACATAAAACGGAAACGCGATGAGCACGCCGGCAGCAGGTAGCCAGGTGTACCAGCGACGATCTTTTATCGCCAGGCGGTCGGCCAGGGTGCCGCCCAGAAACGTGCCAATAGCACTGGCCACGCCAATGACCAGCCCGAAATAGGTCGCCGTTTCGGCAATGCCCAGTTCATGAATACGAATAAAATAGGCCGGTAACCACTGGCCAAGGCCATAACCCACAAACGAAGTCAGCGCGCCGCCCATGGCAATGTGCACCATGGCTTTACTGCGGCCGAGTTCCCGCATTGAATCGCCAATGGGAGGTTGCGCACTTGGTGCCGCCGATCCGGCGTCTGACATACCACGGATGGGTTCGCGAATTGACAACTTCACCAGCACCGCCAGCGCAATTCCGGGAATACCGGCGACTAAAAAAGCGGTGCGCCAACCGTACAACTCGGCGACCCAGCCACCGATCAGATAACCGAGAATGCTCCCAATTGGGATACCCAGCGCATAAATCGATAAAGCGGAAGCGCGCTCATGGGGCGGATAGTAATCTGCAATAATTGAATGTGCGGGCGGTGAGCATCCAGCCTCACCGATACCCACACCAATTCTCGCAGCCAGCATCTGCCAGAAGTTCTGCGCCAGGCCGCAAACCGCGGTCATGCCGCTCCAGATTGTCAGCGCTGCTGTGATGATCGAGACCCGGTTCGCGCGATCTGCCAGGCGCGCCAGGGGAATACCGAGTACCGTGTAAAAAAGCGCAAAAGCCAACCCGGTCATCAACCCGATTTGAGTATCGTTCAGGCCGAGATCAACTTTGATGGGTTCCGCAAGAATGGTGACAATCTGACGGTCCAGAAAATTGAACACGTAAACGACCACAAGAACACTCAAGACATAGGCGCGGTAACGCGTATCAACAGGCCGGGTATCTGCGGGCGCGGTCGCTCCGCGCTCCAAAGTCTTCTGCAATGCTGGATTCCCCACTTTGGTGACGCAACCTCTGCTGTTCAAGCTGTTGCAGTCACAATTCCCAAGAGGCCACGACCCTAAGGTGCCGGTATATCCGCTACCATCTGATAATCGCGGGAAAAGCATACGGAAATATCGAAGAATCGGGCTGCTGGCAGCACCCTGAGGCATACGGATGGGATCTAAGTGCTGACAAAACTTCACAACGTGTGCTATTTAAAAGGGTACGGGGGTGCTGTCTTACCGAAGCGGCAAGTCAACCAGGGTTCTTTAGCTTAGTTAGGGGGAGTGATGACACAGAAGTTCACAGCTGAATTGGATGTTGTAATAGCCGGTGCAGGGTTTGCCGGTATGTACTTGATACACAAACTGCGTGGCCTCGGCTACAAGGTGCGGGCGTTTGACAGCGCCAGCGACGTCGGTGGCACATGGTACTGGAACCGCTACCCTGGCGCCCGCTGCGACGTGCGCAGCCTCGAGTATTCGTTCTCATTCGACCCGGAGCTTGAACAGACATGGGAGTGGAGCGAAAAATTCTCCACCCAACCAGAGATATTGAGATACGCCAACCATATCGCTGACCGATACAATCTACGACCCGATATCCAGTTTAATACCCGCATCGAATCACAGACCTGGGACGATGAACGCGCACGATGGACGGTCACAACCGACACTGGTGACGTGATCGACGCGCAGCACGTGGTCCTTGCCGTTGGCACCCTGTCTGCACCGAAGCTGCCTGAAATACCAGGTATCGAAAGCTTTAAAGGAGAGTGGTACCAGACTCAGAAATTCCCTAAAGAAGGTGTGAACTTCTTCGGCAAACGCGTGGCTGTGATCGGCACAGGTTCTTCAGCGATTCAATGCATTCCTGAAATTGCCAAAACCTGCGAACAGCTGACGGTATTTCAGCGCACACCGAACTTCTCGTTCCCTGCCGGTAACAGGCCTTTAGAACGCAAAGAAGTGGACGGAACAAAAGCGGATTATCCCAGCGTGCGACAGGAAGCCAGAGAGTCGTTTTTCGGTCAGACTGGACCTGTGGCGACACAGTCTGCACTTGAAGTCAGCCAGGAAGAGCGCACCCGGAAATATCTTGAAGGCTGGAATGACGGACAGCTGATCAGCATCCTGGGCGCCTATGACGATCTCATAACTAACAAAGAAGCCAATGACTCTGTTGCAGAATTTGTGCGCGGCAAGATTCGTGAAATAGTCAAAGACCCGGTTACAGCCGAAGCATTGTGCCCCTACAACCACCCGGTAGGCACCAAGCGTCCCTGCCTGGACACCGGCTACTACAACACCTTCAATATGCCGCATGTACGCCTTGTTGATCTACTCAAGACTGAAATAGTCGAAATCACCGCAACCTCCATCAAAACCACAGCAGAAGAGCTGGAATTTGACATCATTATCTACGCTACGGGTTTTGACGCCATGACGGGGTCTATTGTCAGCATAGACACCCATGGCCGAGACGGCGCTTCCCTTGCCGAGGTTTGGCAGGACGGCCCTGCAACCTATCTCGGTTTGATGGTTGCGGGTTTTCCTAACCTGTTCACCGTCACCGGACCGCAGAGCCCGTCTGTGCTGTCCAACATGATGGTCTCCATCGAACAGCACGTTGACTGGATCGCAGACTGTATCGAGCATCTGCGTGAAAACGGGCTGCGGACCATTGAAGCGACACCAGAAGCGCAGAGTGAGTGGGTAGCACACACTAATGAGGTCGCTGCTGACACGTTATATCCACTTGCCAACTCCTGGTATATGGGTGCAAACGTGCCCGGCAAACCTCAGGTGTTCCTGCCCTATATCGGCGGCGTAGGTGTGTATCGCGAGAAATGTGATGAGATCGTTCGAGAAGGTTACAAAGGTTTCGCTCTATCTAATTAGTAACCACACTCCTTCATCGTCGGCAGAGTATGCCCAGCACCTGCTGGGCCCTGCGCTCTCGCAACTTAACTTTTCACGTCGGCAAGGTCAGTGCCACGGGTTTCTGTCAACATCCACACTGAGATCAAGGTCAACACCGAGGCCAGCGCGATATAGACCGAGATATAGATCACTCCAAACTCGCCCCACAGGATAGTGGCAATGGTTGGCGCCAGAGCGCCACCCAGAATGGCACCAAGCTGGTAGCCCAGTGAGGCACCCGAGTAACGCACCTCAACACTGAACAGTTCCGCTAGAAAAGCCGCCTGGGGTCCATACATCATGGCCAGGAAGATCTGTCCGCCAGCCAGGCCCACGGTAATCCACAGAAACTCACCGGTTTCCATCAACGGGAACAAGGCAAAACCCCAGAGTCCAAGCAGCACGGCACCCGCCATATAGACCCCTCTACGCCCATGACGATCCGACCAGGCCGCGGCCAGAAACAATGCGGGCAACTGGGCGGCTGTCGAAATCAACACGGCAGCCAACATGACATCCCTGGACAGGCCAAGTCCCGACGAACTGCTGCCGTAGGCCACAACCCAGGCCACCAGAATATAAAAGCTAACCTGCACAGAAAGAAAAGCTCCGGCCGCAAGAACAATTTGCTTCGGGTAGAGTACCAACGCTTCAATAATAGGCGAGCGACTGGCAGTCAACGCTTTTTCGACCAACTCCGGATCTGTTGGCTCTGCAAGGTCCTTTGCCGCTTTAGCTTCTTTAAGTCGTTTAAACGCCGGCGTGTCTTCAAGGGTAATCTGCACGTAAATGCTGACACCAATCAGCACAACGCTGGCAAGAAAAGGCAACCGCCAACCCCACGCCATGAACTCATCGTCAGTGAGCATCGCACTGACACCAAGAAAGGCCAGGTTGGCCAGGATCAGGCCTACCGCGGCGCCTGCTTGCGCATAGGCACCGTAGTATCCGCGTTTTTCCTGCGGAGCATTCTCGGTCACCAGTAACATGGCACCACCCCACTGACCGCCCACAGCGAGCCCCTGGATAAAGCGCAGGATCACCAGCAGGACTGGAGCAAGGGCACCGATGGTTGCATAGGTAGGCAATAAACCAATGAGGGTTGTGGCTACCCCCATCATCATCAGAGCTGTCACCAGCGCCGCTTTGCGCCCTACCCTGTCACCATAATGACCAAAGATAATGCCGCCGATCGGCCGAGCCAGAAAGCCTACGGCAAAGGTGCCGAAGGCCGCAATCAGGGCCACAGTTTCTGACATGCCAGAGGAGAAAAAAGCCGTAGGGAAAACTAAAGCGGCAGCGGTACCGTAAATGAAAAAGTCATACCACTCGATACTTGTACCAGCCAGCGCAGTCAGGGCCACTCGACGCATACTCTGCTCAACGCCTGCCTCTGCAGCAGGTATCTGATCGGACATATCGATTTCCTTTTTTCCTCATGATGCCTCGATTTTCAGGCAATGGGAAACCGCGTTACTGCATTGCGGCATATCCTCAATCACTCTGGATTCCAAGCTAGGGAAATCTTCACCGTCCAAGTTACAATAGGCGCTTCGCCAGCCTACCTCGAACATCACCCTCATGCTCCAATACAGCAGCTCAACCGCATACCAGACGCTGATCGCCCTGTTTATCAGTCTCACAGCTTTTATGGCACCGGGCGTTGTCAGCGCCGCAGATGGCGACAATCGTTATGATATGAGTGAGCGACCTAATGCCGGCGGATCAGCCGAGCGTGTCCAGGTAGAGTTTGCCTTGCTGGATATCGACGATATAGATGACAAGCAGCAACGCTTCAGCATCGATGCGTATTTTGAAATCAAATGGCAGGATCATCGTCTGGCTGTCGAACCTGGTGAAGAACAGGTAAACCGAACGCGTGTCTTTTCACCCGACAAAATCTGGACGCCTGGACTCACGATTGTCAACGATAGAGGGTTGTCGCTGAAATTGCCCGAACTTGTGTATGTCGACAGCAACGGGAACGCAGCACTGCGCCAGCGCATAAGTGGCTCGTTGGCCTCCAATCTGAAGCTGCAGAAATTCCCTTTTGACACACAACGCCTGTCGATAGACATCGTCTCTTACAGGCTTGCGTCTGCTGAACTGGCATACTCAACCAATACGTCTTTTGTTGGAAACACGTCAAAATTCAGTGCGGACGGTTGGGATTTTGAGCTCCAACAGCCTGAATTTTCTGTCTTCAAGCTTGTTGAAGACAGAGCCGGGGCTGCCCAACTCACCCTGCCCATTTCAGCAACCCGTCACTTTGGTTTTTTCATTCTGACACTGGCGTTACCCATGACGTTGATCCTGTTTCTAACCTGGACAGTACAGTGGCTGCAACCGGACATTGCCCCTTCACGCCTGAGCATGTCGACAGCCACCGTGTTCTCATTGATAGCCTTAGGGGTCAGCTTTAGACTCAGCCTGCCGCAGATTGACTACCTCACACAAGCCGACCGTTTTGTCATGTATTCCACAATTCTTGTGCTGATTTCCCTCGGCATAACCGTGCTGGCAACACGCTGGGTCAATGAAGACCGTTTGAATGACGCAGTTCGCCTAACCCTCTATACACGTTGGGCGTTCCCGCTGATCTTTGCACTGATCATCGTGCTGACACTGCGCGCCTAGCACTTTTCAACCGCGAATAAACTCCCGGATGACCTTACCTGGCCGAACACCCGTATGTTGGCCCTGTTCAATGATCACTTCACCCGCCACCAGGGTTGCATCATAACCCTTGGCCTTAACAACAAATCGGCCGCCGCCATGAGGAAAATCATTTACGTATTCAGGGTGGCAAGTACTTAAATTGTCATAGTCGATCACGTTAATGTCCGCATGCCATCCTTCTTGCAGTTGGCCGCGTTCTTTAAGGCCTATAATCTCTGCAGACTTGCCTGTGATGCGATGAATGGCTTCCGGAAGCGAATACACACCTTGCTTCCGGGTAAGCTCACTGAGCAATACCGTTGGGGAGTCGGTATCTGTGAAGAAACCGACGTGGGCCCCTGCGTCACCCAGCATGGGGACAACATGCGGCAACTGCATGTATTTCCATTGGTTCTCCAGGTTGCCACCGAACATCCAGAAATTGAAAAACTCTTTACCTTCTGAAGCCAGTAGACGCTCTACATAAACCTCCACCGGATCTTTGCCGGCTGCTTCAGCAAGCTGCTTCAGACTCGCTTGACGAGCAAAGTCGAGATCAGGTGTTTCACCCACGCCAAAGGGATGCAACATGTGGGCAAGGCCTTCCATATCTCCCGCTTCAATACCCTCGGCAATGAGCCTGGCCCGCTGAGCTTCGTTGCGCAGCGCATCTACACGATCTGCAATGGTGGGTAATGCCATAAGCTCTTTCCAGGCTTTAGACTTTTTCGTGAAAGGCGACAATTGAGCTAATCCGAAAAAGGCACCACTGGGACGGGTATGACAGATACTGGCCAGACGCCTGCCGCCTTCATTCTGCTGCTCCAAAAACTCACCCCAGCGAGACACGCCACCATCCCCCTGGGCCCCTGTACCACCGGAGAATAGAACCTGACAACCCAGATCTGTGCCGTCTCTGAACATCTGCAGCTCGGTTTCATAACGGGTCTGCATATCGTTAGCAGACTGGAATAACGCGCCGATACCACCCCCCGCAATAACCGCTTCCTGTATCGCCTTGGTTTCCCGCAGATCGGCCCAGGTCCCTGGCGTGCAGCGGCCATCGGGCACCGTGTGTAACAAAAACCGTGAGGTCGAAAAGCCTACCGCGCCTTCTTCAACCGACTGCTTGACCATTTGCGCAATGTGTTCAAGCTCGGCATCAGTGGCTTGCGCGCCTTCATCCATGCTGCGGTCACCCATCGCCTCGTAACGAATGGCAGAGTGACCCGCCAGCCCCACCACGTTAAGAGCGGGTTGCAATGCCTGCACAGAATCCAGATATTCACCATAGCTGGTCCAGTCCCAGGGCAGACCATCCATAATGGCATCAGCGGCTATGTCTTCCACCGACTCCATCAGTTCTGCCAGATAGCGCCTGTTTTTCGGGCTGCATGGCGCAAAGGTGACACCGCAGTTGCCGATCATCGCCGTGGTCACCCCATGATAAGAGCTGGAGCTCATCAGTGGATCCCAGCCGACCTGGGCGTCCAGATGCGTATGCAGATCTACAAATCCAGGCGTGACAACTTTGCCACTGGCATCTATTTTTTTTGCCGCAGCTGCACCACTCAAATCGCCAATCCGCTGAATACGGCCGTTAGATACTCCTACATCCGCACGAATAGGCTCCGCACCGCTTCCATCAACAACGGTACCGCCTGAAATGATTAGATCGTATTCCACTGTCTACTCCCCTGATTAGTTTGCAATAGCGACAACGCTTTCCAACGCCGCTACACTTTCCCTCGAACCTGTTTTATCCCGATTACTGTAAAAAGGTCAAGTAGCGGCGCATTTATGCTGAAGACTCGCGATATGGTGTTGTACTCCCTGCCAGCGGCCGCAGCAGGTTACATGTTGTCCCTTCTTGGTCTTTACGTCATGAAATACTCCACTGACGTATTGCTGATCACACCGGCCATTATGGGCACCATTTTTGGGTTATCGCGCATCTGGGATGCGGTGACCGATCCGCTGGTTGGTTACCTGAGTGACAAAACACGGCTTAACTTCGGGCGCCGGCGCAGCTGGATACTGATTGGTGCCATTCCAGCCGCGCTGGCCTACTACATGTTGTTTGCCAGCCCTGCTGATCTCAGCGAGACCGAAGCGGCTTTGTGGATGGGCGTGGCGGTGTTTGCTTTTTATACCGCCATGACCTCAATCATGGTGCCGCAGCTGTCCTGGGGCGCGGAGCTGTCCAAGGACTATTTCGAGCGCAACAAAATTTACGGCATCCGCCAGGCCGGCATCGTGGTGGGGGGCATATTCGGTCTGCTGACCGTGGGGTGGCTGACCTCCGTAGAAACCACAGACCTGAACGCCGTGAGAGAACTGGCGCCTTCTATTGCAATCTACGCAGGCATAGTCCTCATTGTACTCTGCACAGTGACAGTACTGACGCTGAAGGAGAGCGCCGCTGACATTCAGCCGCCCTCTCGCGGTATATTTGGCGCAGGCGCCGACGTTGGCAAAAACCGCTACGCGCGCATTCTACTTATCGTCACTTTCATCGAAAACATCGGCGGCGCTGCCATTGGTGCAGCCGCCCTGTACGTGGCGCAATATGTCATGGGTATGGTCGAGATTGCGCCTTATTCCATCATCACTTATATGGTCACTTCGACCCTCGTCATCCCCGTGTGGGTACGTCTGGCGAAACGCTTTGGCAAAGTCAAACTTTGGTTCTGGGCCATGATCGGCACGGCCATCTCTTTTGGCGGCATGTTCGCGCTGGCATTTATCGAATCTACAACCGCACAAGTCACCTGGCTGATGTTCCTATCCGTCATGTGCGGCATATTTGCTGGCTGCGGCAATACCATCGGCCCCTCTGTTGCCAGCGACGTTATCGACTATGACGAACTGATGACCGGGGAGCGCAAGGAAGGCGTCTATTTTGCTGCGTGGAATTTTGCTTTAAAAAGCGCAAGCGGCGTAACCCTCATGTTTACCGGATTTGTCCTCAGCGCGGCAGGGTTTGTCCCCAACGAAGAGCAGAGCCGCGTTGTGGAGCTGGCAATGTGCGCGCTCCTGGGCCTGTTTCCGCTGGTCTGTTATCTGATTGGCGCGGCATTGTTCAGACAATTCGATCTTGACGAGGCCGCCCATGCGGACATTCGCGCCCAGCTGGATGCACGAGACGCCACAAAAGCTGTTGGTTGATTTGTTAAAGCGCCAAGGATCGCGCATCTTTTGACGCGGTTTTCACGATCAGCGTGTTCAGCTGATCCTATGAGCAACAAACACGCTTCAAGCCCATCCACCTGCGGTAAACACACACTCAGGCGCGATCTGCCGAGCAAAGTTTGTCCTGTCTGCGATCGGCCATTCACCTGGCGTCGGAAGTGGCAGCTGGTCTGGGCGGACGTTCGATACTGCTCTGAACGTTGTCGTAGACAGCGTCGGCAATCTGCAGAGGTTTGAGATGGACTGGTCACCAACACGCGACGCTGGACTCGCCCGCCTGGGCGCTTTTGCACCTCTGGCTGGTCAGCAGTATCGGGCCAAGCGCAACGAGGATCGAGGCCCAGGCCAACATCAACTAGTGTCGGGTCTGTCCCCTTACTTGCGTCATCGCTTGCTGTTAGATCAAGAAGTACTGGAAGCTGTGATTGCACACCACACTCCCGATCAGGCGGCGAAGTTCATCGAGGAAGTCTTCTGGCGCAGTTACTTCAAAGGCTGGCTCGAACATCACCCCGGTGTCTGGACAAGCTACCTCAGCGACTGTGAACAACTGCGCAAGACGATGAAACAAGACCCGGCGCTACGCTCAGCGTACAGTGATGCCATTTTAGCGCGAACCGGGATTGCACCTTTTGATGCCTGGGTTGCAGAATTGCGGGCGACCGGCTATCTGCACAATCATGCGCGTATGTGGTTTGCCAGTATCTGGATCTTCACCTTGGGCCTGCCCTGGCAACTGGGTGCACAATGGTTTCACTACCACCTTCTGGACGGAGACGCCGCCTCGAATACTCTCAGTTGGAGATGGGTAGCGGGCCTGCACACAAAAGGCAAAACCTACCTGGCTCGAGGGGACAATATTCGGCGTTACACCACACAGCGTTTCAGCCAGGACAGTGGTTCTGATTCCCTCAAAGGTCTTGAACGGCTCGCAACGTCTGCGCCAGCTTTGACGGAAGATTCTGAGATCACCAGACCTCAAACACCAACCTGGCCCGACTCCTCGACCCCGGCCCGTGGCGGCCGCATTGGCTTGCTCCTGCACGATGAAGACATGTCTATTGATGCCCCTCTTAGACCTGAGGCAATTGCGATGCTCGCGCCACAACGAACAGGGCGACGTCGTGCCTCGCGCAAAGTTGCCCGATTCGGACTACACGCGGCGATCAGCACCCTCACTCAGGCGAATCTGGAATCGTCCCAACTGCTGCGCTCCCAGCAAGCAGCAATGCAATGGATTAAGGACGCCAACATAGACCGGCTGCTGGTACCCTACGTGCCACAGGGCCCATCTCAGCGCCGAATGCACATAATGTTAGATCAAGCTGAACGCCTGGGTATCGAAACCGAGTTTTTCATACGCCCTCTAGACCGGCTGGTTTGGCCGTATGCAAAAAAGGGTTTCTTTGCACTGCGCAAGCGCATCCCCGGAATTCTCGAAAGCCTGGGAATCACACCGCCACGACAAGGTGAACTGCTACCCCTCTGACCTTTATGATATTCGGGGCCGCAAAGCTAAACACGACCCACAATCTTGAGGTTAAACGTAACCCGGTGGTGGCTGATAACCACCAATCTCGTCTGCCATCAGGCGAGCAAATTCAATTGTTGTGCGATCGTTAAATTCAGCGCCAATGGCTTGCAAGCCGATTGGCAAGCCCTCTTTTGATAATCCTGTAGGGAACACTGTACTGGGCAGATAACTCAAGGTTGCCAGACCCGCCCAGAAAACCTGCTCAAAGTAGGGCCGTTGCTCACCGTTAACTGTAATGGTTCGAGTGCCTATTTCCCCCTGGTCCTGTTTGAAAGCAGGTGTAGCAGTGGTTGGACACAGAAGCACGTCCCAGTTTTCAAAAAACCGCTGCCAGGCCATGCGCAGCGCGCCGCGATGACCATGGAGTCTCTGATAATCGAAATAGGTGAGCTTACTGGCTGGCCCCGAGGTTATCCCATCAAGAATCCCCAGATAGGTTTCGTGAGAGGCCTGAATGGCAAAGCCCGGCCTCGCTGTATCTGACACTTGCGCTCCCAGGTTTGACAGTTTCGCGCCGATGGACTGGATGCGTTCAGCAACTTCTTCGCTGACAGGAGACATCACATCGTCAGGCCACAACGCAACCCGCAAGCCACTGAGCGACTTCATTCGAGATGCCGGCAGTTCCAGCCGCCAGCCGGGCGCCATCAATTCATTTGAACCTGACACCACATCAAGAGCGATAGACAGATCCTCTGCACTGCGCGCCATAGGACCGACCACCGCAAGATCAGGGTGTTGGGGGCTAGCAGGCACACCCGGCGGTTGGTGACCACGAGAAGAGACGATGCCGAGCGTTGGCTTATGCCCATAGACGCCACAAAAATGTGCCGGGTTACGTATCGACCCACCAATATCAGAACCGCTGTCCAAACCTGTGAGACCTGCAGCAAGTGCTGCAGCAGAGCCACCGGAAGACCCCCCAGGCGTACGCGTCAGGTCCCAGGGATTGTTGGTTGTGCCATAAATCGCATTAAAACTCTGAAAATCCCCCAGATTGATGGGTACGTTTGTTTTGCCGAGAAACAATGCCCCGGCTGATTTGAAACGTTCCACCACCGCTGCATCCGCTGCGGCAATATTCTGCGCGGCTTCAGGCACACCCCAGGTTGTGGGCAAACCGGCGATATCGTATGACTCTTTAATGGTCATTGGCAGACCATGTAGAGGTCCTACCTTCCGACCCTTGGCGAGCAGGCTATCTGCCTTTTTGGCAGCCGTAAGAGCTCGTTCAAAATCGCGCACAACAATGGCGTTCAGCTGCTTGTCGTACCGCTCGATACGCGCAATGAAATACCGTGCGAGTTCCTCTGAACCCACATCCTTGTTTCGCAGCTTCGCCGTCAATTGTGCAGCTGACATAAAGCCGAGCTCGCCAGCAGGCGCATCCGCTTGTGCCAGAAGAGGTTGTCCACCCACCAGCGCAGCTGCAGCTAGCGTACCACCCGCCTGAAGAAACGTTCGTCTTGTTGCTTTTTGATCCATGGCCTCCCCTCCCTGTGATCGATAACGACAATCATGGCAGGTGGACACGAGATTTTCCAAGCCATTCCCGCAGGCGCAATAGCTTCACCCCCGATCTCTCGCCTGAATGCGGGAAGCTTGAGGAGTTTCTGATCATATTTTGTCAAATGTGCGAGGCAGAACTTCGACGCCTGGGTATTGAAACCGAGGTATTCATGCGGCCTATAGACCACCTGGCTTGGCCTCACGCAACAAGAGTCTTCTATGCATCAAGTAAGCGCATCCCTGACATACTCGACAATCTGGGCATAACGCCTGGGCCTCAGATGGATCTGTTGACCGGTTGATAGATGTTGCACTGCAACAGGGCGATCCGCCGTTGCATGCATCAAGCCGATACCCACTTACCTCTCCCGCAACAGTTTTTCTTCAATCCGTGTCCTGATAAACAGGGTCAGAAGCACCATTTAAAGAGCTTTCCACTTGATCATTGAGTTTTTCTAAAGGGTTGGCACGATGCCTGCAAAACTGCTGACGCGGATCGTGATGACCCGTCCCCTCTCGGGGGTACACAACCTTATCAAGGAGCAGTAATGATGAATGGTGTAAATCGTATTGGAAAAATTGGCATCCTGGCTTTCGCGCTCAGCGCCAGTGCGACATTTGCGGATACGCGTGAAAGCGAGAAGGAGGCGATAGCCGTGTCCTTTGCCGAACTCGACCTCTCCAAGCCTGCAGGTGCGGAAGCGCTCTACGATCGACTACAACGCGCGGCGGCAAAAGTCTGCGGCGTTCACAATCAGTCTTCGAGCCTTCCCTTCGCTGCAACTGCCGACAGAAAAGCATGCTATCAGAATGCCCTTACCCGCGCGGTGGCCCAGCTTGACGCGCCACTTGTAAAGGCGCAACACGCTGGCTGACGCACACACCTAAACAGCAAACCCAAACTGTTAGCGCCGCCTCGGTGCGCCTCGCATCCCTGACGGACGAGACAACTGCCGTGTAGCACCCCGCTGCCTTGATTGGCTGGCCCGATTAAACGAGCCACGATCAAAGTCACGGTGCTGCGCGGCAGAAGATGGACGATCTCTAGTCTGAGCAGGTCTCGTCTGCGCAGGTCTCGTGCTGGGGATAATTCGCTCCTGTGTCCACTGACCGTTGCTGCGCCTCTCCCAGGTATCATTGTTGCGCCGAGCAATATTGCCATTCTTATCAGCAAAAACGTTGTTTGGACGTGTAGTCGCCGGCCGCGCCTGTTTCAACTTACCCTGTGCCACGGCTCGGTCTGCATTACGTGTTCTATTCCCATCACGATTGTAGATATTGCTTCGCGATCGATCCAAATTGATGTTGTTGTTTCTTTGCAGATTGTTTTTCACTCTATCGCGATTACCAATATTGACGTTGTTACCAATGTTGATGTCGCCGGTATTGATGATGGTGTTGCCGCCATGAAAACCACCGCGATAGCCGCCCCCATAATAACCACCGCAACAACGCCCTGGATAATAGCCCCCGCCATAGCCGCCGCTCCAACCGACGCCCATGCTGAAGAACCCGTTTGACCAACTGACACCAACATTCCAACCGGTCCAGGGATTGTAGCCGACGTGCATGCCCCAGGTCGGCGGGCGCGGATAATAGTAACGACCATAGTAAGGTCGATAATACCAACCCGTACCGTATACGGGCACGCCATAGTATGGGTAAGACCACATGTATCCAGGGGTATACCCTACATAGACGACTTGCGGCGTCGACTGATAAATGTGTACGTGGGTGGTGTTGTAAACCGGCGAGCTTGGCGGAATCTGCTGGATCTCTTCGTTAGGAATGGAGTCAGAGACTGCCCACGGACCGGTTGCACTGCTTGAGTCAAACCACACGCCGTTGTCGACCGCGTAATAACGATTATCAATTCGCAGAACCTGCGCTGCCGTGTTGATTGCGTAGCTGACCTCAGTTCCTTTGATTTTTTCGAACTTAGGCTGGCCGTCATATTCCACGGTTAAGCTGGCTTTACTTCGTTCGATCGCTGCGGTTTCAGGGATCTGCGCATCCAGCATCGCATCGTTGGCCTCTTCTGTTCCCGCAACGGATACCCGCAAACCACCTATATCGGATTCAGGAGGAATCTGCGCAAAACTTTGTGGTAATTCATCAGAACGCACAAATGTCCACGGACCCGATTGGGATTTGCTTCGGTACCAACGACCCGATAGCAGTAAATACATATTGTTTGTAGAGAGCTCGCGCAACCAGGCGGTTTCGGTGTTCTTCACGTACAACAAATCACCACCAGGCAATGACTGCCAATCGGGTTTACCAGAGGTCACGACCAGTTCTGTGGGCTCGTCTGCAGCGACAATCACTGGTGGTTTGTCCGGAGACGCAGTCACATCCTGCGCAGCCTCAGCCAGCATCTGTTCAAGATCCTTCGGCACAGAGTTTGTTTGTGTCCAGGGGCCCAGGGCAGTTTTTGCGGTGTACCAGTACTTACCACTGCTCAGATAGTAATCTTTGCTGCCTTGTTTACGTACAACAGCAAAAGGTGTGTTGAGCACACGCTCATACGGACTGTTTTCAATATCGGCATAACGTGGTTCACCGTCAAACATAAGCAGCACGGCAAGCTCTTCAGAAAAAAGGATTGCCGGTGGATCGTTTTTCAGGTCTTCAAGGCTTTGCTGCACGATCTCTGCGGTTGCGAGACTCGCTGAGAGCCTTTCGGTAGATATCTCAAACCCACTCTGCGGTAGAGACGCTTCGACCACGGTTGTGAAACGTTGCTCATTCGCATCGGTTGATTCGGGCCAACGAACATCCGTTACTTTGAGATCTCTGATGGTTGCGATACCTGCGTCCGTATCATTATCAATTTTAGCCTCAAACCAGAAAGCACCAAATATGGGATCCTTGCGATCTTTCAGTTCCAGCGCCATCGCCGCGCGACCTTTCAGCGTGTTGCCCTGCAGACTTTCAGGCTGCGGCTGGTAAACAACAATAGTGCCTTCGTCCGATATCACTTCCTGGGGCCAGTCGAGGGCTGCTGCGGTGGCTGAAATAAACAACAAGCCCGAAGCAACAACTATTCTGAAAATCCTTAATACTGATGTCATGAATGCTCGCTTTTCTTGGTATGCAGCTGTGAATTTTTGATAAACGCGGAATACGGCCATGTTTGCCGATCTTCGGCCAGCCTTGCGGACGCGAAGTATATACAAAAGCCGTCGCTTCCGGCATCAGGTTTTCCAGCATATGGATGAGCCAGAAAGACCTGCCATTGTCCTGGCGGTGCGTCATAAAGAACCCACTACTCATGCACCAGTGGTCAAACGGTGTCTTAGAGAAGCACCCCGAAGTCGATTAAAGCCTCGAAAAAGATAACCAATGATCTTAGGCGCGACAGAACCTGCTCTGGCCTCTCGCGCAAATGCCGGTCGTTTTAAAAGCGCCTGATAATATCTTGCCAGATGAGGCAGGCGCGCAAT